TATGATCGTTGTAATAAATATAGTTATGTTCTCATTAAGAACAGACAAAATCTTCAGACCACATACTCCTTACAGGAGAGGTTCACAAAAGACCAGAGTTTATTTTCTTGGATAAACTTCATCACTGTATTTCTATGTCTAGCTTGTATGCCCCATATATCTTGTTACAGTGGTATCTTGGTTCTCAAATGCCTTCATACTCAAACAACTTGGAACCCAAACACTGCAAACCCGGAAGTAAGTGTCCCGGTTTGCAAAGGTTTTTTTTTGGAAGCCGAACATGCTCCGTTTTGAGTGTTATGCTTCCAATTTGAGTGCCACACTTCCGTTTTGAGTGTTATGCTGTGGTCTGTCTGTTTTTGCTACTTATTTTGCGTTTTTGTTTTTTTGTGACACTGTGGAACCCAGTTCAGCTACTGATTGACTGATTGTGTGACTGCAGTACATTTTTTATTGCTTTGCTTTAATTTTATGGATCAATGGTCTCGTTAGATAGTAAAATTCACGTTAAATTGCTGTTTTGGGGGTTGTTTTTAAAGGTCTGGAACGGATTAATCCATTTTGCATTATTTTCTATGGGAAAGCGTGCTTTAGTTTTGGAACGCTTTGGTTTTGGCACGGACTTCCAGAACAGATTAAGTTTGAGAACCAAGGTACCACTGTAGTTGTCCTGATTCCCCCCACCCCACTCTCCAATCTGCACTTCTATTCAGAATACATGTGTAGAGTGCATACTTATGAGAGTCTCTTCTTCTGTACTAGGAAGGGAATCTTTGTGGGCAGTGGATAGAGGATCAGGGCTGAGTGTTGCAGCAAAAAGAGACCATATTTGCCCAGTCTTCTACAAGAGTTTCCCACTGTGGAGAAACCTATTTTATAAGACCAGCAACATTCTGCACTTATGGCTACTCACCCTGCAAGGAAGGTGTGCAATCTTCCTCAAAGATGTATTGATGCTTCCAGAATGTGATCTGATGGCAGTGGTTTAGTCTCTGATGAGCAGATCTATTTATCTGCACTGAAACCCATAACACTGCAATGTTCTTGACATATTTGAGTTTCTGAAAGCAAATACTTTAAGTGCAACCCTGAACTAGCTTACTCAAAAGTGTCCCACTAATTTCAGTAGGACTTACTCCATAATAAGGTTTCATAGAATTGCAGTCATAAAGTGCCTTTTAAATATTTAAAGTTTTAAAAGAGTGTTTATATGAGTCTGTTGCTTTTTGTTAAAAAAAACAAAAACCCCACACACAACAATCTTGAGGATGTTTTTAAACTCATGAGTCACTTCCATAACTGAACATGAGTCAATTTACATATTTGTAAAAAGACTATGTGTTCAATGTTTGTGTGTCTGTCAAGGGTAGATTTTTATTTTTAAACATTATTCCTAGAAATATCTATATCCTGCAAGCTGCCAATTCCAAGTCCTGAAATAACACTTAGCAGCCTTGTAAAAGCCCTTATAATGGGCAGATTAGGATTTTTCTGCAGTTTAAAAATAAATGTAACGCTGGTCAGAAAATGGACCTCTGTCAACGTTTTAGTTTACAAGCTGTGAGGACGGTTTCATTAACATAATCTTAGCCTTAACATAGTTGGAGCCTTTTTATCTGCTTGCTATACACTTGGGAATAAGAGTCAAAATGTAAAAGTTGGTCTTCCATAGACAGCTACAGGTGGAGTTTCGAAAGTGCAATACAGCTTTGAATGAATGAATGGCAATACAGTGGTACCTCAGTTTACGAACTTTATCCATTCCGGAAGTCCGTTCTTAAACCAAAACTGTTCTTAAACCAAGGTGCACTTTCCCTAATGAGGCCTCCCGCAGCCAGTGCCCTTCCACTGTTCAGATTCCATTTTAGACCGAGGTAAAGTTCTCAAACCGAGACACACTTTACGGTTTTGCGGAGTTTGTAAACCAAATCGTTCTTAAACCGGACTGTTCTTAAACCGAGGTACCACTGTACAGCTTTACCTGGGTTTGTGAATCCTGTTCAAAAGTTCATAGATTTAATAGTCACATTCTTCAAACCTTCACATGAGGAGAACCCATCTCATGTTGCCCTTGCTGTAGACTAAGCATCAACTGAAGACATAAACTCTGATTTATGTAAGGCAGGGACAGGGAACCTGTGGCCCTCTAGATAACAACTCCCATCAACCCCAACCAGCCTGGCCAGTGGCAGCAGTTGTAGTCCAACAACATCTGCAGGGCCATGGGTTCCATTTCTCTAGTGTAAGGCATTTTTTATTATATGACTTGAGTTCTTTACATGTTTGCTGTAGCAATAAAAGGAGGTGATACACAACACTGCCTTTGTTTGGTACAGCCGAGTTTATGTGTTCCTTTGTGGCTGGATCTCGGGTCTGGCCCAGCCCTTTCCTGCAGTTGCTATAAATCTCTCGCCCCCTATAAATCTTTTACCACTGCATACCAAGAGCCCTAACTCTCCTTGGTCATCACAGCCCTCTCATCTGGTTTGGGTTTCCTCTGCTATAGCAGAGTATTCCTATAAGGCTTTTCTAGTAAGATGATGGAGGCTGCCATTCTGAACCGCTGCTATCTCAATGTTTTTCTCCTTTCTTCTTAGAATCTGTATGCCTGCATCTAGATAAGCACATCTGTGCTCAAAATGTGTACAAATGCTGGGAATTTCTCTATGCTATTAGAAAAGAGAATATAATGCTGTTCTATCTATTCTGGTCCATAGAAGAATTCCATGTTTACTCTTTTTTGGTTCAGGTGCTACACTTCAGTTGCCCAGAAACCACCTCTGGCTAATGAGATAGTCCAGCTAGCCAAGTACTAAATGTGAAGTTGGGGATACCAGTCTTCTAGAACTGGAAGCAGGGTGGTGCTTCCTCCAGTAGCATTTCAGATTGGCGCAGTGGTATTTGTTGTGTGGGAGTTGCTGTGTAGTGACTCCTGGGCCAAGGGGTCACCATGGCAACTGCTAGGCAGGTAGTCAATATTTCTGTGGCCCTATTTGTGTTCCCTGTTTGATCCTAACTGCTCTTGAGCTGAGGGGGAGGTAGTTGATGGGGGAAGAGTGCTTAAGGGCCAAATGACACAAAAGCCTATGACTAGATCTGTATCCTGACACATTCATTGTTATCATAAATCGGAGGCTATGAGTGGAGCACTTGGGGGACTAGGGTTTAAATCTTTCCCCCAATAAATATCTTCTCTTCCCTACCCCAAGCTGTTAGCTCTACAGCACACAAAAAAGTAATCTCATGATAATTTCCTTTTCTCATTCTTTCCAGGGGCACAATAAACTCTGTATGACTCCTGCCCCACCCAGAGCAAGGTGGTGTTGTCATGGTGATAGTGGACACAGTGTATGCATGGGTTATGGCCTTCAAGAGAAAAATAAGCCTAGGCTAGTTCAAAATAGCTGCCCTGTCTTGTGCCTGACTCTTCCTTCAGTTTTATTAGGACCAACTAACAATAGGGTTGAAAAGGGGACACTCATCAATTCCTTCTCATCCTTCTCCCTCATTAGTACCAGTTGTTCCCCGAGATCATCAGTAAAAAGTGTTCCTAATCTTAATCTAAAAGGCACAAGCATGGGTGCAGAACTGACCTCCAGTTTAGAGCACTTCCTTACTGTGACAAGCTATTCCAAATCTGAGTGCTTCCTTTGAAACAAGGGGTTTTGCTGCATTAGGGTGTGTTATGTAGAGGTGAGTCTTGCATTACATCAGAGGTTGGGAACATGGGGGCCTCCAGATATTGTTGAGGCTCCAGCCAGTCTGGTCAATTGTTAGGGTTATTATGGGGGTTGCAGTCCGTCAACATCTGGAGGCACACAGGTTCCCCATCACTGCTTTGTAAAGAAACTAAGAGGCTGAATACAGAGAAGGGTCATTGTTCCAAAGAGAGTTGTGAGTCCCCATCGTAATTGCCTGCTTCCACAATATTTACTGGTATTACTCATGGGAGCCCATTGTTCCAGTGTGAGACAATGGTGGTAAGGAAGGAGGCACAGAGTGCTGAGGGAAGCTGTGAAGGTAATGTTGTGACCATGAAACTTGAGATTATCCTTTTGATGGCTGGAGTGTTAGTGGTTGCTTTCTCAAGATATCATATTTGTGGGCCACGACTCTGTGGATCCCTTCTGCGTGAACGGAACAAGGAATTTTGTCATCTTGTAACCTCATATTTTCTTTTTAGCCCACTCTTAGCCTTTTTCTCTGCTCCTTATAGCGTATTCTCTCCTTTCTATTCCCAGATCTATTTAACTTCCTCTTTTCTACCTATCCTATCACTTTTTCTTATTTTTTTACATTACCACAGGTCTCTCTATATCCCTATCTCTACCCCTGCTTTCTTCCTTTAGACTTCAAGTGCTTTTCTGCTCTGTCTTCTACTGAACTTTACAGCTGCCCATAAGTAATTCAATCCTCCAGTCCAGATGTTTCCACTGGTAGCAAACCCAGGTATACAGTCAAGGGAGTTGTAACCAGTCCTGGATCTTGTATATAGTGGTATGGTGTGTTTGCAGACATGTTCGACTACTTCATGCACTACATTTTAAGATGAGCCCCAAGAAATGTAACGTGATCTGCCTCTCTGATGGAGGCAGGCTCTTAATCATAGGAACCTAACTGCAACTGGTTGGAAAAACAGGACAGTGCTACCATTTGCCTTTGAATTAAAGGGAAGGAAAAGTGATTCAAGCATTTCCCCACTCCCTGCTGTTAATGGGCATATGAGAGCCACAGAAGGTGTCGCAGAGAGGTGTAAGCATGTTGCGGACAACTAGAATTCTCTAAGATCCATATCTGTCCATGGGTCTGGAGTCATGCAGGCCTGTTCTAGAGCTCCCATTTCTTTCTATAAAACATTTGACCCACATATCCAGATTCTGGAGCAAGGGAAGCTGCCTTTTACTAAATTAGACCATTGGTTTATCTAGCTCAGTATGATCTGCACTGCCTGGCAGTGGCTCTCCAGAGTTTCAGACAGGAGTTTTCCCCCCAGCCCTACCTAGAAAGGCCAGGGATTTAACCTGAAACCTTTTGCATGCAAGGCATGCACTCTGCTACTGAGCTGCCTTCCTTCCCCAACTTTATCTGATACTGGTGGTCTATGAGATTTTTGATCAGTGTAATAAAAATACTACTTGCTGTTTTACTCATAAAGCGGGGGGGGGACTGTGTTCACATTGTAAAGTCTACACTTAATCTCCTTGGATTTTTCTATACAAGGTCTCAGCTGTGTCAGAGTGCATAGGCTTCAACAGTGGGGCCCTTGCTACTAGATAATGCCAATTTTAATATAAATAACAGTCTGATTATCCTGAGGTGGCCAGTTCGTGTGACAAAATCTACTTTCAGTTGCCAGGCCAATATTTGGAGACTGGATTGGTCCCGAGAGTACAACTGGTCTACATCGTAGGAGTTTTCACCTACTGTAACTTAACTTTTATTTTTATTTCTGCCTTTTAAAAGAATGAAGATGAGTGAATCCAGTGCAAAATCGAGTCAGCCCCTGGCTGCCAAACAGGACAAGGATGTAACTGAGAAGAGAGGACGAGGGCGGCCCAGGAAGAAGCCTCAGGTTTGTGGAAAGCTTCCCTTCATGTTTTGCAAGCTGTGCTTTATCACTTCTCATTGACTACGGCTAGAAAAAGCTAAAACATAGTAAAAGGGTAACGTGGAGGAGCACTACTACCATGTAAAGGAAAGTTGTTGATACAGTATGAGGCAGGAGATCAATAGGACACCAGCTTTTTATTGTCCTCTGGGGAGAAGGGCAGATTTGCCTGATGTTGGCAATAATCAAAGTAGTGACTTCTCTCCCACCCCCCTCCACCTTGGACATGACTGCCTGAAAGAATCTCATGCTCTGGGGGTCCTTTGGTGCTCTGTAATCATCATAATGTTGTCCTCCCTCACCATGGAATCAGAAGACCTCTGAGCCACAAATGATAGTTGGCCTACCTGCAATTGATATTGCTACCCTTGTGTGCCTTCTGCATCCCAGCAGGGTTCCTCCCCCCGCTTTACAGTAACTATTCTGATCCTAGGGGAAATTGAGCTTCCCTGGCTTCAGCTCTGGAGCTCCTCAAGGTGTTGAGTTGCATGATCCCCTGTCATGCGAGTCTTAAAAAGACCAGGTTCTAACTGAAGGAATCTTTCTGCCACAAGCCTTCGTCATTTCAGGTCATCATTCTGTGCTTTGAGCTCACTGTCCTCTGTCCCTCTTGACTTCCTTTTCTGCGGTTTCTTGATGGGCATTGTTGATTGGTGTCAGTGCCGCCTGCAGTGGCGTATAAAACCTGCCCCGCAGTACCTTTTTATGCCTGCTTTCTAGTGGTGAAAAGGACTAGTTTTCTTACGTTCTAAGAAATGTGCCACTTGTATGACTGTGATCCTTCCTGCCTCCTCCAAGCCTGTTGTGCTATGTGTGTCAGGTAACTTATCAGTCATTGGAAGTGAGCAAGTTGTCACTCAGTTATGGCACTAACCTTTTCACTGCAGTATGTTTGAAAGTGTGTCTTTCATCTAAATGTATGGATGCTTCTAGAATTGGGTTCCATTAGGGCTGGGGTGAGGGATTGTGCCACTTCAGATGGTGCCAGACTCAACTCCCAACAGCATTTTCCAGCATTTCATTTTTTCACTTTGATTTTAGTTCACCTCTTTTCATGGCTAATCCTCCCAAGGCAGCTCACAACGTATTGAAAGAATGTGTTCCAATGTGCCAATGGTCGGGGGTGATGAGAGCTTTAGTCTAACATCTGGAGGGCCACAGGTCCCTCATCCTTCCATTGGCCCCGTGAGTAACTTTTGTATGTAGCTGGAGTTAAAATAAGGCTGGGTTGAAAGAATTGCCAATATTTCCCCATCAAACTGATTACCTGCCACAGGAGCTTAAACATAATTTTGACTTTGAGTGGTGATACTCTTTAACACTGAGTTGATGTCTTCTGGATTCTTCTGTGCATCTGCTGTTTTCTCCATATTCTGATATATTTATTTTCTGATAGACGTTAAATAGAAATCTTTTTGTGGTTTCTTCCATTCTAATATCGGGTCCTGACCTCTGTTACTGTGGGTCATATGTGGAAGAAGTAAAACCAAAATCTAGCTGCTACATCTGGCATTTCTATTAGCTGGTCTGAGGCAGCAGTGCCATCTTCCTCCTCCCATCTGCCCAGGGTGGATTTGATTTAGATCAGATTGATTTAAATCACAATTTAAATCATTAGTCAGTAGTCAGTAAGCCTTGATTTAAATCAATTTTTTTACAGAAAGACTCATTCTTGCTTGTATAATCTTAATATTTACAACCAGATGAAGGTTTCATTTTTGGAATAATAAATTTCCAGAGTAGTCTTTACAGTTATATAAAAAATACAACAATGAAATTATTGTGAGGTTTAGTAAGTTAAGTGTTTATTTTTTGACAACTTTTTTGCTGTATTTTATTGGAAGGAGAAAAATAATCATTTCCTTAATAACAGTTTAAACAATTTATTTAACTAAAACAATAACATTATAGCATATGTATCCATGTTTGTTAACTGATGTGGTTAAACAATTAAAAAAAAAACTTAGCCTGAGTTTTAGCACACAGGAAAAACTTAAAACAAATCCTTATTTCCTGTTGAATAGCCTTTGGACTATAATGTACCGTATTTGTCGCTCTATGGGACGCACCCGACCATAGGACGCACCTTGTTTTAGAGGGGGAGAACAAGAAAAAAAATTCTCCCCCTCTCTGCGCAGCGCCCCTTCAGCAAAGCGGTAAGAGAAACGGAGCCCCTTCCATTTCTCCTCCCGCTTCGCTGAAGGGGCGCTGCGCAGCTCTCCCTCTCCCACATTGCCTTCGCCTTCAGTGAAGGCAATCCGAAGCCTCCTGAGTCCCAGCCCCAGGGACCACACATTCGCTCCCTAAGATGCACGCACATTTCCCCTTAGATTTTAAGAGGGAAAAGGTGCATCTTATGGAGCGAAAAATACGGTAACTTAAATAGAAAACTAGAAAGATTTTTTCCTCCAAAAGCATTTTATTTTAAAAATCCAATGTAAATTTTAAAAAATTGATTTAAATTATAAAAAAAAAACATTTAAAAAAATCATTGATTTTTATCCACTCTGCATCTGCCTGAGCTCTCTGAATAAGACTGTTACTCTTGGGAAGCAGAAGACAGGGCTGCTGGTGTATTACTGAGTGGCTATTAGCCGCAGCTATAAATGGAATGTGACGGGGAAATTAAAAACAGTAGCTGTGTGAAGCTTAACTTGACAGAATTGATATAATTCGCAATATACGAATGAATCTCCAGGTGTCCAGGCTGTGCTTTTGTGCATTGGGGTGGGTGCCTAAAGTAATAAATGTACACTCCTGATCTCACAGAAAAGGATTTTGTCTTAAGATCTCATGGCTTGTATAGAAAAGCAGCTTGTCTCTTTCCACCCTCTACTACTTCCCATTCAAAAAAGTTCTACCAAGTTGTTGGTTTTTTTTAAGGGGCAATGCCTTCTGTGTCATAAGAGTTACAAAGCTTGTGCATGTGTCTTGTGACCAATTCATCATGCAGTCTGAGTGGATCTTTGCCTTTCACCATGCATTGTGAGAACTCTGAAGAAATACAGGCCCCAGAGCAAACAGCTCTGCAATCGAAGGCTGTGCCCACTGCATTGCAAAGCACCAACTTGGTCAGTGTGCAGAGAGGAAAATCTGTGTGTCCTACACTACTGAAGGTGTGCAGGCAATCATCAGTGGGGCATCTCCCAGCACTGTGCTTCAAGCACCGTGGGGCACATTCTTTGCCTAAACCAAGACTGATATGTAGGTATGGCGTTAACACTTTAACGTGAAGCTTTGCATCATTTCCAGCTGTTAACGAGATGAACTAATACCAGAAATTACTCTGTAGTGCTTTTCCAGTAGATATCACACTTGTTTAAACAAAAAACAAAAAAACCTTTGCTGTAGTTTTGTGGGATTTCTTACTTCGGTCACTGAAGCGTCTGGGAAGGAATCAGAAGGAACTTAATCTGCCTGGGACGATGTGCAGGCATATCTGCTCTTTATTGGCCGGCTGCTGACTATAATGTTATTTCTTTCTATAGCAAGAACCCACTGAGGCACCAACACCCAAGAGACCACGCGGTAGACCAAAGGGGAGCAAAAATAAGGCCACTTCAAAGGGAAGGGTAGGTATTCTCGAGGCTGGGCAGCAAATTTGAGTTCCTTTCCACCCCCATGTACTCTTTTCTATACTGCCCAACTGAAGATGACTCTTAAGACTGTATCTGGAGTTCTGCCTGGACACACACAAAAAGAACAAATCCTTTTCAATGGAAGAATGAGCCAGTCACAGGAAGTGTCAGTGGCATACTCCCCACACTCGTTTTATTGAGATACCTTTTATTAGGACCTACTAACAATAGCAAAGTGGTGAGCTGTAGTTCTAATAAAGTTATGCCATCGTTCTCACTCTGGATCCCCCCCCCCAAATGGTTTCGTGCTTACTGTCTTTTTGCAGGGGATGTTTTCTCATCTGTTCAGTTTGGGCATTTGAACTAAAATATAATCCCCTGAAGTTTTAAGAGCAAACCAAACTTGTTGGAAGAGGAAAGTTGGGTTCTAAGCCTGACCCGTCCTTCCAACACCTAACAAAAGGGAAAATTTGCAGGCAAAATCAGAAGTGGAGTTTTTATACCTCTCCAGCTGCCCACTGACTCTCCTCTGAAGTCCCCCCCACAAAAAAGTCAGTTTTTAACTCTTCCTGGGGATGGAGGGGGCCTTAAAAAGAGAAGACTCAGTAGATGCAGGAGTGTTTGAGCACTCAGTCCTCCCTTGTAAATGCTTGTCTCTGCAAACATTGAGACTAGAGACCATACATTTGGCCCTGTGTCAGTCTTGAAAACTTAATTCGAAAAAGAGGCCTAGGATGTTGGACTTGTGGGGAAAGGAATACCAGAATCTTGCATACATCCAAATCTCAGCTATTGTGTGCAGAAGCTTTTTGAATTAGCTGAACAGCTGGTGACATTTGTTTGTTGTGACCATTTGTCCTGGCAGCTGGAGTTTGCATGGCTGTAAAGAGCGGAAAGGGATATGCCCCATTCAGTTGTGCAGGAGGAAGATGGGGAGAGCTAATTTTAATGGGAATCGAGGGGTGGGGATGGGTTCTCCCCACACCCCTCACACCTTGGCCCCAGTTGTTTATGCTGTGTCACAGGCACCTGGCCATCGCATTCTCCATGCTGGTGGAGAGCAAAGTCTTGATGAAACTGGGTCCCATGTGGTTGAAACTGGGAGAGGGTTGGGAAGATAGTAAGCAGATGACCCCACAGTTGGTGACTTGACAGCTGTTTGTATGTGTATGAAATCCAAAACTGGACTCATTCACAAAAGAGCATATTCTTCCTCCCTCTCCCCCTCCTTCCACAAGTAGATACCAAGAAGGATCTTTTTAAGTGTCCAGCTGCTTTTGAGCAGCAGATGCCTGGTCCTGAATTGACAGCCAGGCTGCAGAGGTTATTTCAGTGGACACTTCAGCTTAACCCAAGCCCTTTCGCCATCTGTTCCAGTGATAAATGCAAAGGGAAGGGAAGATCCAGCAAATGCTGGAAACAGTTGCCCCTGCCTGTTGTGCACCTGGCTCCCCAGAGCTGCTGTGCTCCCTCCTCCCCTCTCACTTGTGGGCTTTGTGAAGGAGACTCTTGCATAGTCAGTTGACTCCCAAGTAGGGAGTTAGGGATCTTGCTTCTGCAGCAGCTTGATGCAGCGACATTTCAGTGATTTGAAGAAACTACTTGATAGGTTCATATTGTCGTTAGTTGCCTTTGAATGCCTCCTTTACTGTGTTGGTTAAATGGTACCATCCAATTTGCAGTCCACTTCAGCACTGAAGCAACTGCTTTTGGTGCTCTTGTTGCTGCCTACTACCAACTCGTGATGGTACTTGCATTGCTCTGCAGGTACCTAACTCATTTCAGACCATTCCTTGGGCCTTTTTGGACTTATAGTGGCTGCTGCAGAGGTTTGAGCAGGCTGCCCTGGTAGCCTTGCTTTAGCACCTGTCCAGACCGCTTCCCCTACAGCTGGTTTCTCCTCGTATCGCTGAACCAGAACAGGAAGGATATGTCATGCAAATGATGTACCCAAGAGGTCTCCAAAACAGTCGCTCTCCTGTTCTTTGGTTACCCACACTGATCCTGCTAGTCCCACAGAGAAGCTTGGGGACTCTAGGTGCTTGGATGTGCTGAATTGTAATGTTCACCTGTCTACTTTGAATCACACAGCCACAGTTTACCCAACTAGTTAAAAGTGGAACAACTGGGTTAGGCTGTCAGTAGGTTAGGAGTGGTTTGGGATGCTGTACCTGACGGTTGGGGAACCTGTGGCCTTCCGGATATTGCTGGAATCCCATCAGCCACTGCCAGAAGGGTAAGAGATCAGGAATCATTATTTAGGTATGCCACTACTGCGGCCAGTGTTTTATTAGCCCAAAAATGGAAAACGAGGGAGTTCCCAGAATGGCAACTTAAACTGATGGAATATATGCAGCTTGTGGACCTAACATAAAATAAGAGGACAAGAAGAACATACGTTTAAAGAAGATTGGAAAATGTTTATTGAATATATGGGGGGGAATTGTGTACACTTGAAAACATTGGCAGCATTAAGATAAATTCAACAGTGTAAACAAGTTTTGATGGATGTAATAATGGAATACTGAATGGTTTAATTATGTAAAATATGCAGGGATTTATGATATGCAAAATGAACCATGGAAAGAGAAGAAGGGAAGTCATTGATATTTTAAGGTTGCTTAAATGAATATTCTAAAATGTAAAACAGAAAATTTAATAAAAATTATATATAAAAAGGGGACTCATTGGAGTTGTAGCCCAGCAACATCTGGAAAGTCACAGGTTCTCCATCACTGTTGTAGCTGGGAACCATCTGTCAAAATGTCCGTCCAATATGATAGGGATCAAACGTCAGTCTTCTTCATTGGCCCCTTAAAGGTTTTGTGTATAATAAGTACCAATAAAAGATACTCAGGGAGAAAAGATACTTTCACAAATTTCCAAGAATGGGGTGTGTGTATGTTTGGTTTTAAACCTGTTTTGAAAACACGCGACTCATATCCTGCATGCTTCTGAGTCATGGGGCTGGAGCCCAGATGGCTCCTTTTGGAAATGGCTGTGATGGTAAAGGATGACAAGGGATGGACTTGTGGCACTGACCCCAAAAGGAAAAGCCAAGAGACAACTGCCAGCCCCAAATGTTCAAGCCCTCATGAGTCACATCCTCTGATTGTGAGATTAACTTAGAATTCATGAGATTTTGCGTGTTTGTAATATCTCCTTTTTGAGTACATTTGAAGAGTCTTTTTTTTTATTTTCCTTGGCACATGTGAAGGTCGCCAAATGTGCAGTGTGTGTGTGTGTGTACAGCAGTCTTTCCCAACCAGGTGCCCTTCAGATGTTTGGGACTACAACCCCCATCAGCCTCGGTCAGCGTGGCTAGCGGTTAGGGATGATGCGAATTATAATCCCCACATCTTTAGGGCACCGGGTTGGGGGAGGCTGGAATATAAAGAGACGCTGCCAGGGGCCCCCAAACCAGGTGCCGCCTTCTCCCCCGCTCTACTCTGGTCACAGTGTCCCCCACCCACCTGCTCCACTCACACTTCAACTGTACAAGGTAATTTTTTACAGGATTCTCCACTTAAATCAGAATTGGACTATATGACCCTCTTTCTCGAATTGGACTATATGACCCTCTTTTTCGAATTGGACTATATGACCCTCTTTCTCGAAGTTGGGGAATCCCTTTGGTTGTTTCTTAACATTTGCATTTTGTATACCTTCTGAAAATTTAAAAAAGGTTTTAAAAATAATAATAAAAGAAATAACAACAAAGAATCGGACTATATAACCACCTTTATATTCTAGAGCAGGGATTGGAAACTTGGAGAGCCAGTATGGTGTAGTGGTTAAGAGCGGTGGACTCGTAATCTGGGGAACCGGGTTCGCGTCTCCGCTCCTCCACATGCAGCTGCTGGGTGACCTTGGGCTAGTCACACTCCTCTGAAGTCTCTCAGCCCCACTCACCTCACAGAGTGTTTGTTGTGGGGGAGGAAGGGAAAGGAGAATGTTAGCCGCTTTGAGACTCCTTTGGGTAGTGATAAAGCGGGATCTCAAATCCAAACTCTTCTTCTCTTCTTCTTCTTGTGGCCCTCCAGAAGTTCAGCTACAACATTCAACCCTGGGCAACATGGTCATTGGTCTGGATGATGGGAATTATAGTTCAACAGCATCTGGAGGATTAGAGGTTCCTTGTCCCTGTTCTAGAGCAAAAGGCTTCCTCTCTGAGGAATACCAGCTGTTAACATGAAACCTGCACTGCTGTTGGTATTTAAGAAAGAAGCAAAAGATCCAAAGACTGAAACAATGGTCTGAAATAGGCCTGAGTGTCTGGCAAAGGCTTGTTACGTTATCTTAAAGCTTTCTTCTTTCTATTCTGTCTGCCCAGAAAGCTGCTGTGACACCTGGGAGGAAACCTCGAGGCCGACCCAAAAAATCAGTAAGTTTTTGTTTCTTTTCAAGAGAAATAACACTTCTACTGGAAGAAATGGCGTGTAGTTTTCTGTTTCTGTTTTAAGACACTCAAGCCACTGCAGATAGCTAAAGGCTTCGTATCCATAATCTGTTCATGAATACTGGGTTCTCTAGATAGGGAGAGATAGTATATGGAACACCACATGATTCTGCTACGTTTTTAATTGGTGCTACGTTGCTACTGCTTTTGAACCTTTGGTTCCTTTCACCTTTGAGTGCATGCGCACACAAATATCCTTACTCCGCTAGAGTACAGTCAGCAGGAGGCTGGTATACTCTTCCTATTTTCCCCAGGAAGTGATGTGTATCTTGCAAACTAGGAAACAGGAAATACTTAATTTCAGCTTAGTTGAAACCCCAAGTTAAAAAATGCTATGATACAAAGAGGATGCAGCATCCCTGTATTTGAGCTTGTTTGGTGGCCCTCTGAATTCAGAGGCCAAATGGGGTAATAGGCAACTGTGTTGTGGATCTGGAGGCCCCGAGAAACTGCAACAGATCTTAGTCTTGCCTGGCAGCTGTTTATGCAGCATGGAGGAGCTTGTTGGGACTATATTGGAAGCCCCAAGGGCTGTGCTGCTCGCAGGTATTTCTATCTTTGGTCCCTTGGGGGTTTCTTCATGGCATATTCTATTTTTAAGCAAAGCATCATTTGGGCTTCTTCCTCACACTATGTTTCCATTTTATAAGTATTCCTAGTGTGTTCTCCCTCTTGCCCACAGCTGAGTAAGAGGAAGTGGCTTGTTCTTCATTAGCTGGCATAGATGTGGTGTTACAAGTGTGGCATTTTGCATTCCTGCAGAGTGAGTTTCAGACAGTTTCATATGGCCTTGCTTGTTTTAAGTAACCACTGTATTTTGCCGCCAGTAAGGTGTTCTGGACTGTCTTCAAGCATTCACAGACAGAATGAGATTTTCCAAATGCAGTAAGCAGTACTACTAGGACCAGTCACTTGCCTGACTTTAACTTCAGGCTGTTTCTCATTTCTGATAATGTTGAAGCTCTGTTTTATGCCCTTCCTATGCCTGTCGCTCTGGAAATGAGATAGGACCACTGTAAAATAAAGAAGTGGTTCATATGAACGTGGGTGGCTATGCTGAAGTATACAAATTTAGATTTTATGCGTGCACGTGCAAAATCACCTCTGAACTTAGACGACTTAGGAATATTGATGTCAGTTGAGCCTATAAAGGTGAGAAGTAAAATAATTCACCCCATTGTCTGGATGAGGAACTTCTGGAGTCACACTGGATGCCAGACAGGGACTCCTGCCCTTTTCACAGTGGGTTCTTGCTGTTTTGTTCATTTTACTTTGGGGATAGGGTGTAGAGCAACACTGCTGCCCGGACACAGCTAAACTAAAATAATTGATTGCTCATCTGTTTTCTGTGGGTAGCTCTTGCTTCTGTTTTGGGAAAGCAAAGTTGGGTGGACTGTGTAGATCTATCAGGTTAGTGGCTGAAGTATAGATTGTTAAGTATCAGATGGGGGCTAGGGGTGAGATGGAGCTGTGATCTGCTCAAAAGCCTCAATTTAGTATCTTGGACAGGGGCATTAGGATTGCAGGATGTGTGCCATGAGTCTTTCACTCCCTTTTCTGTAACTGGGATGTTTAAAGACAAAGGAACGAATACTTGTTTCCCGTTCTGAAGAACCACCTCACTGCAATGGCATAATTAATAAAATGCTTATTAAGCATTTTAAAGCATTTTAAAGCATATTGGCACACGGTAACATTTTTTCTGCTGCTAATTTTTTTTTAAAGGTTTTAAGTATTCAGAGGCAGGTGTGCCATCGTGTTTCTGAGCGCAGAACGCGCTGCTCTTTCCATCCTACCCCCAGAGCATTAGAAGTAGCTGATGGCGCCGCGACTCAAAACTGTCCCCAGCCACCAAAGTATGAGCTGAATGTAGGGCAACCCTGCCAGAAGCAGCTGACTGGAAACACTCCTAATAGGCAGAGGCAGCCTTCCAAAACATGGAACCAGAATTGCAGCGAGGGTTTTTTGTTTGTTTGTTTGTTCCTCCTTCCGACGCTGCCATAGAACAATACAGACAAAAGCATCTGGCCTTTATAATTTCTCCCCCCCCCAAAAAAAAAAAAATGGCAACAGGAATGGAGACCTTGGATTCTTCTGCTATCGCTAAACTGCAGCATTCTTCTGCCTAAAGTCAACACTGCTGAGATGACTGGGGGTGCCCATGAGCTCAAATCTACAGATGAAGTTATAGGCGTTTCTGGATTCCCACGGGCATCTGGTTGGCCACTCTGGGAATCCTAGATTTGATGGACCTTGGCCTGATCCAGCAGATCTCCTCTTACTGTCATGCTCTTCTTGGTAGGGTGGAGGGTCATGGCACATAGGCTTTAAGATTCTTTCTACAACCCTGTGCAGGTGAGAATGAAGCCAACAGGATAGTTGACAGAGCTACCTAAGAGAACACCTCTTCTCATATGTATCTACCTGTGCCCTAGGATCTCCGTCCTTGAAATGCCCCCTCATTTTGAAGCATGGTGGGTGGCCTCAAAAGAGAGGCTTTTTAGTAGTGGCTCCCCATTTGTGGAATGTTCTCCCTAAAGAAACTTAACCCAGCACTCACTATAAAGCTTTTGGTGAACGCCAAGGACCTTCCTCTTATCCCAGGCCATTTAATACCTTAGTATTTTAATGGTTCAGCATTAAATTTTAGTCTGTTTTAATCTGATGGTGATTGTTTTTGCTTTCGTCTGTCTGATGATGCAGAAGTAGAAGGTGTTTCTTGTTGTGGCTTATCTAGTTCACACTGGATTGTGATGGATGTACATCTCCTAAAGGTTTTTGCATGTCGCTGACAATGCATAATATTTTATTGGGGAGCTATGTGCTGGGCGTAGCCATTGTGCTGATGATAGCATTGGGTTTCCCCCCACAACTGTGACGGTGAACTGCAAACCTGAAAAGTCCTATACCTTCTTACCTGGGAGCAAGCCCCATTGTCTCAATGGGACTTACTTTCAAAAAAACACATAAAGGATTGTTCCAGTTGTCCTTAAAGCTGCTGCATGCTTTTCTATAAAATCAGCTGGAGATGTTAAGTTGCTCTAAATTTTATATTGCAAATGTCCTATGCCTGCATGCAGCCATTCCAGTTCTCTTTAAGCAAGTCTGCCAAACGTTTTCTGGTTTTAGGCTGGCAGCCCACTCTCCAAGAAGCAGAGAGAGGTTAAGTAGCATCAGTCATTTCCTCCTTTGCTAAATGAGGTCTCTAGCCCTGGAACTTGCTGTACAGACTTGGCAGGCACATTCCACAGTGGCTTAAATGTATATTTTTATGAATGAAACTCAAGGAAGTGGAGGTTGCTGACTCACACGCACACTCAGCCATGACTCATCTCATTCTGACAGCATCGGTAATTTTTTTTTTCAAGAGAGCAGGCAGGAAAGACCTCCTTGAAGAACTATGTTCCCTTCAAACACAAACAATTGCTTTTTAGGGTTGGATGGGTGTGGATAGCGGTTCTACGCATTGAGTGGGCAGAAATGGTGGATTCAGTGTGAGTTTGGATTAGACGGCTTTCTTAATGCTTGTGTCCCCCTTGTGGCAGACTGGATATATTGACTAGCCACTACATCTGAGGCTCTTCATGCAGAGTTTGTACTATGGTATTGGAATACATTAACAGCCAGAGGATGACTTTAAATAATTGGGGGGGGGGGAGTTTAATGAGCATTCTGTGCTAGACTCCACTCCAGCATTCCTTCCAATACAAGCCTCCTGTTCCTAGATGTGTCGTCTGCTGCTGCTGCTGCTTTAGCAGCAAAGGTGGTACGTATTGTACTATACCATCAATGCTAGCAGGATGGGGATCTCTACAAGTTTCTGCCCATCCTTCTGAATTTTTGAGGACATTGAGTTTTACTGCAGGTGTTCTTAGGAGCTAGCTGCTGCATGGATTTGAAAATGCAACAGTGCTTATATTGGCTTCCCTTGAAGGAACAGGAGTGGGACCAGGGAGAAATATAGAGGTCAGCCAGTTGAATACCTGTGAAAGCTCTAAATAAAGGGCTGGAGAAGAACATTTCCCTTGGGAGCATGGCCTTCAGGTTTCCATTTCACTCAAAGTGCAGTAAATTGGCCCTCCACCTGCTTTTCAATACCATAGTTCAGTCTTGGGTTATATAGAGTAGTAATTTTAATTCTTTAAGGCAGCCTTCTCCAACCTGGTGTCCTCCATATGTTCTTGAACTCCTGTTGGTCCCAGCCATCATGGTCAATGGTTAGGGATAATGGACATTGCTATCTAAAATAGCTGGAGGGCACCAGGTTGCAGAAGGCGGCTCCAGAATAAGACTGTGTGGGAGTGTGTCTGATGCAGCCAAATCCTACACATCTTTGACTAGCAAATAGAGTGATCTGCATTGGAGGAATTGGCTAGCAGGTGGCCTGATCTCCTGCAGTTCTCTTACACATGCTTTGGTGATGATACAATGTGGATTAGACTTGATCAAAGTACAGTAGACACACACCTCTCCCCAAATGACTCTTCCACTCCTTTTTCTCTCCCTTTACAGGAGAAGGATGAAGAAGAGGTCAACATCTCCCAGGAGTCGTCGGAAGAGGAGCAGTGAAAATAGTCAACTGGTTCTACCTCGCAATTCAGTTTTCCTGTCTCTTGTCAAGTTCTGGGACTGAGGAAGGAACAAAGAATCCTCACCCCTTTCCTGACCCACCTTTCCCAATGTTCTCACAGTCAAAACGGCAACACTGGAGTACAGTGTAAAACAAATCAGCCATCACGTTTGATGTGTCATGTTCAATGGGAGAACCATGTATCTTGTTTTCCCCTCTCATTTGACAGGGTTAAAGTTTTAGCCTACCAGTTCATGTAGTTCTATATTATATTGGTTGTTTGGGGGAGGGTGGTTTTTTTTTTTGTTTGGGCCTGTCTCTTCAATTACACTCCTTGTAGAGAAAGGAGTATATAAATCTTTATAGTAACCACTTATTCATGTTGAACAGAGTGGGGCAGTCTAGTTTTTCCTTATCAACCCTGATCTCCGCTTGTGCATTGTGTGCATTTTTCTGGAAAGTGAGCATTTTGGAAAGAGCCAAAGCATTGAAATGGAGCTTGATAAGTTTTTCCTGTTTTCCTGGTTAATGGTTTTAGAGGATGTTTGCCTGTTTTTATGCTCCGTTTCCTATGCGTCAATAATAATATGGCTCCTCACAGTAGGCCCCATGCATTCTAGTCAACAGCAATGCAATCTAGCCCCAGTCAGCTGCCTTGGAGCTAAAACAGTTTAGGTTTGCCATAGGCAAGATTAGTTGGGAGGCTTTGTTTGGCTCTCATCTGCCAATGGGAAAGCTCTTTCCAACAGGTGCAAATGTCCCCCTCCAATCTGCTCCTCTTGTAGCCCCAGCTGCTGCTCAGGGGTCTTGCAGATGGAAGCCCACGCCCAAAATATTTTCCCCCTTTGTGCTCAGTCATTCTGCACACACAGGACTACTGGATCTTTCTTGAAACCGGAGAAGACTTTGCCAAGACCAAGGAAAACAAGATGGCAGAATCCCCCCTTCCCTGGGTCTCTTTTTGGGTTATTTTCTCCATTGGAAATAGCACAGTTAGTGTGTTTAGTTACAGTTGTCTTTCCACAACATGTTGTCTTTCAAGGTTTTTTCTTTTTCCTTCATTCACAACTACCTCTGGATAATTTTAAGTTTCATTCTCTTAAAACATGGAGTTGCTGCTGTTTTGTTGCTGCTGCTTCTGATGCTGCTGTACCGGTTACAAAGTTTTATTATTCCAACAGGTTCTGTCTGGTTTCTTTCTCTGGAACTGACATTTTACACTATAGATGATTTAGTTTGAGTTGACTTTCTAAAATGATTGTGCTATTAAAAAGGGAAAAAATACTACATTTGTCAGACTGGTGAGTAATTGGGGAGAGGGTGGTTTTTTGTTGTTGTTGTTTTTGCAGACTGGCCTCATTTCCATGAGTTGGCTGCCCATGAAGAATACTGGGTTCCTACCATATTATCCAAAACTGCGAGCTACTTCTGACAAACTGTAGGTGTGGGCTTCTTAAGGCCCCCATCCTTGAAGGCTAGAGGAGACTGCATTGGATAGCCTTTAATATTGGTTCAAATTTTAAGAGCGCTTCTGGATGAAGAGCTTGGTGTGCAATTGGTCTTGATCAGTATGCCTGACAGCCAGAAACCAGTTTGTTCAGAGGGTGCCATGTAAATTCCTGTGCTGATTGTTTCTTGTTCAGCTTGGGAAATGAGTGTGATTACCATGGTGGCAGTCCAAATTGGAGGCTGCGCTGCACTCCTATCCCCAGGACCTAACTTGGTTCTAGAATCTGTTGCTTACATGCATATACTTTGATTTTAATAATGCAGTTGCTCAGAGAAGCTGCTGACTGGATACATAGCCCATAACCTGACAACATCTTAGCTCAGGGCTTTCTATCCAGGGGGTAGCTTAAGATTGCTGCATAATTCTTTAAAATTGCTGGGTCTTTCCTCTTCCAAGACCAGTAAGTGGCTCTGTCTCTCTTGTGCCCAAATGCTCTAGAAATATGCAGTAATAGCCCTGTTGTTGCTGAAATAGACATCTTTCTAAACTTGGATAACATGATTTGCACAATGCTGGAACAAATCACTTCTTCAATTTCCAGGTTGAGGATTAATGTGGTGCTTAAATTATATGTTAGCATGAAGTTAAGGGGAGAGACTAAACTTCACTGTTTACCATTAACCAGCTACCTGTCCGTTTCAAATTTTTACAAGGTTATAGTTGATGTATCAGGGAAATAGGAAGAAAGGGACAGTCTTTTTTTCTGCCTCTTAAAATGTAAAGAGTTGGTTGGTCCTTTTCCCCTCACCCTGCTTGATGTTTTCAGCTAATTAAGGCCATGGGTCTGAAATCAAATGTGAGTTCTGAACTATGATAATGTCTAACTTGCCTCAGCTACTCAAGAACAGACAGCAGAGGGGGAAGGAAGGTGTGAGCAGTGGTTTGTAGGCTGCTATATGAATCTGATCCATTGCTAAAGATTTCTTGATTTCCTATTTGCAGTTTACTTGAATAAAACACTTGATGTTTCAAGCCTTCCCTTTTGTGTTTTGTTTCGGGGGCATCTGTGAATGCTACCTTCTAAGCTGGAGTAGATGAGACCACAGCTTACAGGTTAGCAGTCCTGCAAGCAGCAGGCCAAACCAGGCACCTGAACTTGAATGAGCTTCCCCAAAAGGCACAAAAAGGAATCCTGCCTTGGCACTGCCTCAAATCTGGCTCTTCCTTTTGCTCTGGACCCAAAAGCATTGGGCTGCGTCTTGCTGTTGCGTACTTGGAACCTAAACTAGATTTACATTTTGGCGTCACCAAATCTGATATGGCTTTAACAGTGAAATAGCTGGCCTTATTAACTCAAATCAGATACTTCCCTCCTTCCAACAAACTGGTCATAGCTCTCCTGAAAGACTACAATCTTATCTGTGCACACTTATCTGAGACTCATCCCACTGAGCTGAATGGGGATCCAGTTATGAACAGAGTTGCTTATGATTGCAGTTCAAGGGCAAACCTAGCTTGGATCTGATTGCTTGTAACTATATGCAGCATCCTTCTTAGACAGATGTAAACACTGCTCATGTATATTTGAAAGGGAGACGTTAATGAAATGTGTGTATGCATATATGTATCTAAGGGCCAAACCAAGAAGGCAAAATGCTCTGAAATAGGTTGCACAAAATTCCTGCATAGCAAGAGCAGACTACAAACAAGCAAAGACATAAATGATTTATATGCACACTACCCATTCAAAAGCCATAGACACCCTAGGTAAGCCCTGCCACCTTACTGTTCTTAGTACATACACCAGTGCAGGCTTCCTCAACCTTGGCCCTCCAGATGTTTTGGGACTACAATTCCCATCATCCCTGACCACTGGTCCTGCTACATAGGGATCATGGGAGTTGTAAGCCAAGAACATCTGGAGGGTCGAGTTTGAGGAAGCCTGCACTAGTGTCTAAACAACCATCTCAAGTGGTGAGACACTTGGCCACAACTTCCTGTTGGGTACTGGGCTAAATCTAGCACCTCTGAAGTAACTTGAGAATCTTATAGCCTACCCCTCATGATAGATGGGTCAGCTAACGTCTCCTGCTGATGCTCATGTAGCTAATAAGCCTTCCACATGGTCAGTAACGGCACAAAGCTAAGCTAAATGGGAATTTCATTTCTGTGCACATATATAGCTACTGCCTGAGAGCAGAACTCAAGTCAACAGGGATTGCCCTCCCACTGCCACTATTAATGTTTCCCAAACAGGAAGGATAATAACAGCACATCCCAAAATAAAAGTGATAATTAGAAGGTGGCCATCTACAAAGGGATTTTTTTCTGAGCTGGTTCAGTCGATTCATGGCAGTATGCCCATAGGTTGAATAGATCCAGAGGAGCTTAGACAAAAAGCTACACTTGGAAGGGTACAAATGAGTTAAACTGCATTGTGATTGCTTTATTAGGCTCTTGCCTTCTGAAGCCTGCAAACTGCTTACTGCTTTAGTAGGATGCAATTTTAGGCCAGGTAAACTCAATCCCCAAACCTGTTATATCAGTTTAACCAACATGTGAATTAGCCAAGTGTGTGCTTAAGAATGACAAGGAGGCAACTGGTGCAACGTGCGCTATGACAAGTTCCCTAGTAGTCAATTTGTCATGTGCAAATTAAAGTCTCTTTATTTCCACATCCACAGACTTCATTTTTGTTTTTCTCTTGACAGCTAGAAATTATCTAGAACCAAAAAAGGCATCTTTAGGTGTCAAGACATTTGCACTGCAGGGTCATAGAGCACCAGCCTTGCTCTCTAGTACTGGTTGCATACAAGGAAGACCATAGTGGATAGCGAGAACGCTGAAGATTGAAACACTGTTTGTTGGGACAAGAGAAAGGGAAAGAGAAAAGCAAAGGCAAAGAAAACAGTTCAAATACATGTATTGCTCAAGTCACCTGTGAAGCTCTTAATCATGCCAATAGGTTAGGTTCAATAGCTAGTTCCCAGCTTGGCGGCCAACCAATGGCAATGTGTTTTCTGCTTCGGCAAGGCCAGCAATGTATCTTGCCCCCAGCGCTTGCTTAAGCCGCTGTAGTTGGGTTAAAGGTAAGTTATAAAGCATTACAGGCTACAGGAAAAGCTTGAAGTTTTGCCATAGATGCTCCTGTTCAAGGCGAACTTTATTTACAAAACAAAGACAAGTGCCCAGATACAAAATCGTCATTGTAGAAAGAAGTACCCAACTCAACTTAAAACGCTTGGTTGAAGAAATATATTAAGGCCCCTTCTAACTGACATACTAACTAGGAAGAAGGCACCTGTGACCTTCCAAAGGTTGTTGGGGTACCACTTCCATCACCATTGACCACTGGGCCAAACTGGCTGGGGATGATGGGAGTCCAACAACTTCTGGAGAGCTACAGGTTCCCCAACCCTCTGCTCCCTGCATGATGCTCCCAGCAAAACTGCATCCCCCTGGATACACAGTTGGGCATATGTTCATTACCACACGTTTCCAACTGTAAAATGAAGGATAATACTATAACACACCCCCCCCCAAAAAAACCAAAAGATTAGCTGTGCAACTTGTTCACTTTCCCTGCCTCTGTAGAGGGGCACGTCATGGGAACCCAGCAACCAAGTGATGTACTCATTATGTATGGAGACATTTAGGATAGCTGGCATTTAGCAATTGCACTGTAATGTCATAACTGCTGCGGCTATGACACTGCTGTCACAAAAGGAAGCAGAGGTCAGTTGGGTTTTGTTTGTTTTTCATAAAGCTGAGCCTTTCGGGACTGTAGTTCATAGTACCTGAAGTTTCAGGAGCTTCAGAACCTCCACCTATATCCATCTCAAATGAAATAGGAATGCCATGCCAAGCCAGAGCTTTTCCAGATCCAAACGTGCAACTCTCTAGGCTGCTCTGTGCACAAAATCTTCACGGGCAAGTGTGTCGGCAGCAGGGACCCACACCTACTCACCTCCCTCACTAGGAACCTAGGCAAAAGGACATAGTTCTCAAGTGGAAAGAAAGGCAGTAGGTTCAAACTTAATGGCCCTTGAGAGTACTTAAAGTTGGCATGCATGCCAAGTAGATGAGGTCATGTGTCCACAACTTGTCGTTGGTCTGAGCTGAGCAGCATTAAGCTTTCACGTCCATAAAAGAAGGGCGGTAGGGTTGGTATCCTCCCCAGGCTCGCATCACCTGCAACGTACAATAGACACTTTCATTGCATCCACCCGATCAAGTACATCCATCATACCTTCATCAGCAATCGTCTCATTTTCTCAGAATAAACACTTCCCACAACAGAGCAGTCTTATATTTGCAACTGAGAGCAATCAGCTGGCAGTTTCTGTTTCAAAGGGATTGTTTTTCTCCTTGCACAGTTTTGAGCCAAATCAGCTGATTGACTGGAAATCTCCTGCATCATGCCAGAGCCAGAAAAGAGAAAGCAGACACACTGCGAGTTCACTGCTCAAAGTAAAAAGGCAATTGACATTTACCAAAATGAGTACGAGAATTGATTCTACCAGCGCACTAATTAAATTTCTGCTGAACATCTCTATTATGGGACACCTTACATAACTAGCTCTAGACACAACATGGCTTCTGCTGGTAGAAGTGGTGGTTAGACCAATGGAAACTGAACTTCCATTTTTTATTCTGTGGGTGGAACGTTAGCAGGAAGAGAGCTTGCACCATGCACGCCAACCGCACAGTTGCCTGTATTGCATCTATCTTCCAAAATGCATTCAGCTAGCAAAACTCTGCAGACGTGTTAAGTTTTGCTCATTAAAAAAAGGCAATGACACCATGGCTTCAAAAATGCTTCTGGGTCCTAGGCACGTGCCCCAGGCCCTGCACACAGTTGAACAAGCAGTAAAATTCCCAAATGATCAAGAACCTGAGATTCCTCCCCCCCCCCCAAGCCACAGTAGGGTTAAAGCATTTTCATGCTTCTGTTAGCAGGTTGCGGTCTTCATTATGTAACTATGAAAAGGGGCAGATGAACTTAAAACCAAGCTCACTATTAACACAATGACACAGATACTGATTACTCATAAAAGCTGTAGACATTTCTTTGCTAGAAGAATCCCTGCACAAATTATGTATTGCTTGGGTCACTGACCCAATTTTCAGCAAAACTCCATATTGGTTAGCATTATTAAAAATATGCCTGGCTGCTTTTAGGCTTTGACCACACCCTTTAAATGGTAACTCGGCTGTAGTGCTTGTCTGTGGCATTCCAATGGCTTAATGCAATGGTCATGAAACTTCCAGAAACTGACAAACAGTAAGCTGGAAATGCCAGAGAACTAAGCATCTCATTTTTCTAAATGCTACCCCCTCCCCATTGCTGTTTTTCACATAAGAGGCTGAAGATGGAAAGACTTGGGGACATTTTCAAAAACCCTGTGCAAATGCGGTCCTTGACACGCAAAAGATGTCTACCCCAGCTCTAATGTACTAAAACACTAAAAATGGGTGCAGCCACTATTTTTTTCTATTGGTCATCTTTGATCTATAGAAGAAGAACACCAAAGAGAGCCAATCCAGTGAAAGATTGCTTTAAAATGTAGTGCTTATATGCCTTGGAACCAATCCACATCCAAAGCACAAAACCACAAAGTTAAGAAACACATGCATCTTACACCAGGTGTGGGGCAACTCTCAGCTGCATGCTATACAGCCCTTGGTATCTCTGGCAGGCTCCACCCATGGCTTTCCTGCCTGGGAGAGGCACCCTCCTCCCCACTTGAAGAGTGTGCGCTTTGTAAGCATGGATCCCACTGGATTCACGCTTGCAAAATACTTCCTTGCCCAGGGCCAAGAAATTCCCGACAGAGTTATGTGAACCCATTTCAGAAAGGATCCCGAGGTCCTTATTCCAAAGGCCTTGCCCTCTAATCTGCCTAACAAATTTGCTGCACAGGTCTATTCCCCCTTTTGCACCGTGCCATTTTGTTTGGCGGAAAACACCTTGTCTCTCCCGAGATGCAGAAAAGGAAAGAAATGCAGGAAGAGAGCTGGGTGGGTGCATTAATGGATGGTTGGTATGCGAGTGGAGAGAGAGAAATGCCCCAAAGAATGGATGGTTTGAGAGGTAAGGGTATTTTGCATGGGCCTGCAATTAATTAATCATATTACAGTGGCACCTTGGGTTAAGAACTTAATTTGTTCTGGAGGTCCGTTCTTTTTTTTAAAAAATTATTTTTATTAAAGATTTTCTTGATTTACAGAGGTATGTGCTAAGTCTCTCGTATCTGGAGGTCCATTCTTAACCTGAAACTGTTCTTACCCTGAAGCACCACTTTAGCTAATGGGGCCTCCCGCTGCTGCCGCGCTGCCGCTGCACGATTTCTGTTCTCATCCTGAATCAAAGTTCTTAACCCGAGGTACTATTTCTGGGTTAGCGGAGTCTGTAACCTGAAGTGTCTGTAACCTGAAGTGTCTGTAACCTGAGGTACCACTGTAGTTCTTGAAAATTTGAAATCGAGCCTGGGTAGCTCAGTTGATAGAGGATCAGACTTTTTCCTGCCCTGCAGGGGCTTGGATGAGATGGCCTTTGGGTACCCTTCCAAGTCTACAATTTTATGATTCTGTAGGTCCCAAGTAAGCTCACCTTTGTGTCTTCTGGCTCCACCAGAAGTTCCTGCTCGGCCTCATGGAGCTCCTCTGCAGGATCATAGCTATACATCGGCAGCAAGTGATGGCGTAACCGGTCATACCTGAGAGACAGATCAGCAGAAAGAAATGATACCACTTTCCCACTGCCCTATGTGGCGACTGGCTTTTGTACAAGAGCAAATACAAAATTAGGGTGGATAGATTAGTTTGCGGGCAAAGTGTTTCCCTGCACTGAAAGCCACCCCTATTCCCAGAAACCATTTCCCCCCAGGTAGAAAAGGAAGGGGCATGCAATAGTTAAAATACTATTAATCCCCACACAAATAATCAGCATGAGTCTATCTCAAATAATCCCATAAACTGCCCAAAGCATAGAAACTGACTTATCATATGTAGAACCAGCTAAATATACAGCTAATAGCCATGCACACAAAAGCTCCTGTGTTCTCAAACAGAGACAAAAGCCGTTTTCTTGAGCAAGAAAAGAAAAGTTGGTTCTGAAGAGCCACATGACCCCAAACTCCCCATTTCCAATGAGAACTAATTGGTCACCCAGCACAAGCCCCTTACCTTCTCTTCTTCTGAATGTACATCATCTGCAATGTGAAAAGAGAAACAGCCATGAGAGAAGCATACAGAGCGTCTACGGATTATTTCTCCTTTCGAGGAATGAAGCATGGAACAAGAAAGAAAAGGATTAACAGGGCAACAGACGCCAGCAGCAGGAGAAGCATTTCCTATACCCGTCCGCGGACAAGAAGCAAACCTGACAATGGCAATGTCACACGATAGCAGGCTGCAGTATGAGAACCCCTGGCTCTCAGTATTGGATGACAACAAAGATATCAAGAGAAGCCGCTCCATGACAGTATCTATTTATTTATTTAAAATATTTTCATACCCCTTCTCAAGGAGGGAGCTTCGCAAAGCACACTGCACTCCCCATTAGCCCTTTCCACACTTGTCTCCCCTGAGGAAAACCGCTCTGCAGCACTTAATTGGCGCAAATGGCAATTTGGGTTTTCCTCAGATTGCTGTTTGTTCTGGACTATCACTAAAGAGCGGGTTTTCCCTTGGAAAGGAGCGGGGCAAGGGGGAAACTGCTCCCCCTAGGCACGTCACAAGTGGAAGTACGAATAAGCCCAAAGTCCCATCCCATTATCCATTTTTTAGGCGAGGCAAAGGCCAAAGAAGAAACTGCTTATTTTAAGTCCACAGCTTCTGGGCATCCTTAAGGGAAATTGCGGTCACAAGGGCCAGATTTAACACATTAAAATGGTGGGTTTGTCCAATAATAATTATTATTTATTCCCCACCCATCTGGCTCCTGTTTAACATAGAACAGGAAAATATTTCAAATTCCCTCCACTTGAGGCAGGGAAAGAATCAAGATTTTCAAGAGTTGTACTCAAGTGCTTTATTCCTCCTCTCTCCCAATAGTGCTTTTCTTGTGTTATGAGTCTTTTAGATTGTACAAATAAATGATGATGATGATTATCATGGTACGCCTGAGGGCAGGGAATGTCTTACTGAAATTTGCAATTTACTCTGGGAGCCTTTTTTGGCTGAAGAGCAGAAACATAGGAAGCTGCCTTTGACAGAGCCAGACCATTGGGTTCATCTAGCTCAGTACTGCCTGACACAGACTGGCAGCAACTCTTCGGGGTTTCAGAAAAGGGCTTCTCCCAGCCCTACCTGGAGATGAAAGGAATCAAACCTGGGACCTGCCGCTAAGCTGCAGCCCATATGGATGAAAACACTTCAAATAAGTAAATAAATAATATGTATGCCCTGTAAATTATGAAAGACAGACTCATGTTGAGCTTCTGCCTCTAAAATACTTCAAAACAGGGGCCCAGTCCTTTCCCCTTTACTCCTTCTATATTCTTAAGACAAACTTAAAATGAAAGGAAGTGCATCCTTCAAAACCAGATCAGCAATTATGTAGTTTAACTCAAGGTACCTACACCCAGCTACAAATTACGTCACTGAAAACAACCCTTATACAGCAGTATCTAATTTCAGGTGCCCAGTTAAATGAGTACATGAACTTTATCTAGACCTGGCTTAATAAACTAATTGCTGGATCTAATTTGCAACCAGAGCCTGCTGCAAAAGGTGACGTTTGAATTCAGTGGGCCTCTAAGCACATTCCAAAACCAGCCTTCTATTTTTCAGAACTGAACTGAGCTCACTGTTCTTCCACACTGGTTAGCATTCTTCATTTCAGCAGCCTAACCTAGGTAGGAAAAGCCATTTTGTTGTTGCTATTACTAAGCAGCTGGGAATTGCAAACCCATGCCAATCTAATTCAGATTCCCCCAGAGATCTATCCGGAGATCTAGCTCTACCTTCTGCCCACTTCTGCTAAGCGGCCCGCTGATTACAGTAGGGTTAAGTAAAAACCAAAGGTTATTGTAGTGCAGGGCAGGGGAGTTTGGCTGCCTTCTAGCTCAACAGGAAGGGGAAATGGTTTGGAAAGAAGGTGCAACTTTATAATGCAGAAGTGAGAAGGCAGAAAAGGTGGCAAGGCTCAGCAGGACACAGTGAATGACCGAGCTTCCCCATTCACCCATCTCCCTTTATGGGGCTCTACAACCGGTCAAATGTTCCTCTCACCACAGAACAAGCAAAGCATCATCCAAACAGACCAAGCGCTCCTCACTGCACCCACTCATGCACCTCACCAGATGTCATGCTAATTCCAGATGAGGCTCAACAGATTCTGAGACCAATTTGGCAACACCGCTGGTAAGAAACGGAAGCGCAGCTGCAGCCAGAACCAAATACCGAGACAACAGCCAGCTGCCCAACTGCTTGATTTGAACCAGCTACTTTTACAAGAGATTTGCTCAGGGATTTATACTTGCGGGGGGGGGGGGGGGATGGGGCAGCTCCATGTATTCCATTGCTGTAATAAAAAAACATTTTTAAACCTAAGCCTCTGCTTAACTTGTTGCTGGTAAAGATGGGCAAAGCTGCCCCACTAGATCAGTGTGTTTTGCTACTGTTGATGTTTCAAAGTATGATTTGGTTTATATAACTTATGTACTATTCTGTTTGCTGGCTCAATTCAAAGTACAGTGGTACCTCGGGTTACATATGCTTCAGCTTACATACGCTTCAGGTTAGACTCCGCTAACCCAGAAATAGTACCTCAGGTTAAGAACTTTGCTTCAGGATGAGAACAGAAATCGTGTTCCGGTGGCACGGCGGCAGCAGGAGGCCCCATTAGCTAAAGTGGTGCTTCAGGTTAAGAACAGTTTCAGGTTAAGTACGGACCTCCAGGATGAATTAAGTACTTAACCCGAGGTACCACTGTACTGGTTATGATTAGGACCCCAATGTCTTTTAGAGGACCTCTCCCAATAGGAACCTTTCTCCAAAAGGTCCTCATCTGGGTGCCATCTTTGAGAGATGTTCAGAGGGTGGCAACAAGACAGAAGGGCTTTGGGTGGTGGCTCCCCTTCTGTGGAATGCTCTTCCCAGTGGTGGCACCATCCACCTCAGCACCAGATTAAAACTTATTTCATCTCCCCGGCATTTGGACAATTTATGACAAGCTTGTTGATGGCCTATCGGATGAAATGTTCTGGCTGCTGCTGTTTTTGAAGTTTTCCTGCTGGGTTTGTTTCTAGGTTGTCTGAAAAGTTCTAATGAAGTTAAGCCATTTTGGCTTTTAACCTTTCTGTAAGTCACTTAGAGACCTTTTTCTTTCAGTATAGAATCATAGAATTGTAGAGTTGGAAGGGACCCTGGGAATAATCTAGTCCAGCCCTCTGCAATGCAGGAATATACAACTGTCCCATATGGGGATCGAACCTGCATTGTTGATGTTATCAGCACCATGCTCTAACCGACTGAACTATCCACTAATAAAGGAAATTAAGAAGGAGGAGGAAGAGGAGGAGAAAGGAAAAGAAAAGAAAAGAAAAGAAAAGAAAAGAAAAGAAAAGAAAAGAAAAGAAAAGAAAAGAAAGAAGGAAGGAGGGAAGGAAGGAAGGAAGGAGTTTATTAGATTATTTTTAATGACTGTATTAGTAACCCAATAAATAAATGTGTAGCATTTGGAGCTCATCTGGTTGAATTCAAGACAACTCACCACAGCTACGATGACTCCGACGACAGTGATAAGAAAAAATGGCACCAGAACATAGCCCACCAAGGAGTCGTTGGGCGGCCCAGCAGAGGTGGGCATAGTGGTGTTACTCATGGCATAGGAAGCTGTAGCTCAAGGGGGAACAGCAAAGCAGCTTCCGTCTTCATCGGACAGTCTGCCTGGCAATCACAAAAACAAACAGTCAAAAGATTAAAACACATTATTCAAGCAGCCATGATCCTCTCTTCTCCTTCTCCCCCCACAAAAAAAAAACAACAACTGCGCATGAGGCGGTACATTAAGTCACAAGCCAGTCACATGTTCCCGCCCCCCTTCGCATTAGATTCGGTACTACAGTGGGGGTGAATAAAACCCTTTTAAGTGGTATTTAGCCTCGAGGCATGGATCCACAGTGTCTGAAGCAAGATAAAGAATTAAAAGGCAAGTGAGGAGGTTCTTTGCTACTGCTCTGTTAAGCAATGCTGTTTGCCCCAAGGCAGTTTGATGGGAAAGAAGCTGCTCCAATGGAAAGGAAGGACAAGAACACTGCAAACACAGCAGTACAGGACTGGAAGTTTTGCCCATTCAGCCATGTTTGGCTCGTTTTGCCAGTGGGGGCGGGCAGGAGAAAAGGGAGAGCACCACCTGCACCTCCCTGCAATGTATACAGAGCATAACTCCCACTTCAGTCATCTTAATATGCTCTATCCACCAGTCCAAACCAAAAAGTCTATACACCATCTTTTTTAAGCAAAAAGGGGCCCTCCTAATCCAGGGAGGGGAGGGGAGGGAACCCCATTATTAATAATTATAATTTAAATAAAGTTGTTACGTGCTTTATCTTGCCCAGTGCAACCCAAAGTGACTTACAAACTATTATTGTTACTGTTATTGTTATTTACCCACCCTAAGGGCCCGGGGTGGGTTGCAACATTAAATCACAATATTAAACACTGCTTAAAACAACTCACAATCACAAATATAAGTTGGGTCCTAAAAAGATATAACTAAAGTGTCAAAAGCCAAAGTAAAGAGGCACGTCTTTCAGCACCCTCTGGAAGCTGTACAAGGATGGTGCCAAGGGGACTTCTGCAAAGAGGAGTTCCACAGCTTCAGGGCCACCACACAGAATGCCCTCTCCTGAGCTGCTGCCACCACCCCCACGCCTCTGATGGTGGAGGAACGACCAAGAGGGCACCCTCTGCTAATCTCAGCACCTAAGAGGGTCTGTAGGGAACAGAGGCATACCCAGTAGTAGTAGTAGTAGTAGTAGTAATAATAATAATAATAATAATAATAATAATAAATTTATTATTTATACTCCACCCATCTGGCTGGGTTTCCCCAGCCACTCTGGGCAGCTTCCAACAGAACACTAAAATACAATAACCTATTAAGCATTAAAAGCTTCCCTAAACAGGGCTGCCTTCAGATGTCTTCTAAAAATTTGGTAGTTATTTTTCTCTTTGACATCTGGTGGGAAGGAATTCCACAGGGCGGGTGACACTACCGAGAAGGCCCTCTGCCTGGTTCCCTGTAACTTGGCTTCTCGCAGCGAGGGAACCGTCAGAAGGCCCTCGGCGCTGGACCTCAGTGTCCAGGCAGAACAATGGAGGTGGAGACGCACCTAGACTTCCTTGCACCCTTAGCAAGGAGCTGTATCACACACACTCCCAGTCCCTTGCACCCTTGGCAATCACTGGCTCTCTCCACCTTACCTAGTGCTTTTTGCCACCCCCTGGGCCTATGCCCTTGGCAGGGGCCAACCCAACCCAACCCTAGGTACACCCCTAGTAGGCAATGAGCTCTTAGTGCAGGAGTGAAGTCTCCCTTCAGAGTGATAATGAGGCTCCCCAAGCCCTGTAATTAATTGGGGGGGGGGGAGGAACAAGTTGTGTGTTTAAGGGCACATCTATTGGCCCTCAAAATCTACACTACTGGCACAGTCAGAGGTGCTACTGGCTAAGCAGAAGGTCACCACTTACAGACCTGTTGCCAAGAGAGCAGGGCAGCTGTGCCTTAAGAAAAGCTTAGGGGGAGGGCCCATGGTTTGCACACAGATGGTTCCAGGTTCGATCCCCGGCATTTCTGGGGACATCCGTTTGAAGCCATGGAGGACCACCACCAGCCAGGGTAAGACAATACTAAACTGGATGGGCCAAAGTCCTGATTCAGTATAAAGCCACTTCCTAGGTTCCTAATATTTCCAGAGAATACACAGTGTCAAGACAACCTGTTCAGAAGCTTTCGGAGGACTCCCCTTTCATCATTTTGATTTTCATCTGCAGAAGGAACCAGTTCGTATCTTAGGGATCCTCAGACACCGCAAGGAGAATGCCGTTTCCCCAAAACTAGTTCATCCTAAATGCAAGTGAAATATGGGTCTAATCCTGAGACATGGCCTCGACCTAGCTTTGACTTGGTTCAAGCCATGAGATACAGTAAGCCGTTTGGCATAAGTTCTATGTGGAGCCCCTCCCCCAAGGGGCACAAGTCCTTTGATCAAACAGTTTCCACCCCAGTCTCCTCACATTTCCTCAAGCTTTAGGATGGGCAGCAAGGTACTTTGGAGTAAGTTCTCAAGAGGATGAGGATGATGATGATTGCTGCTCCATTTATATCCCACCTTTCCCCCCAAGGAGCTCATACATGCCTCTCCTCCGCCCTCCATATTATCATCACAACAACCCTGTGAGGTAGGGTAGGCTGGGGACTGACTGGCCCAATTCAGTAAACTTCATGGCTGAGTGGAGGTTTGAAATCTGGTCACCCAAGTCCTAGCCTGCCAGCCCAAGTACATTTTTACGAGGGAAATGTCATCACATCAAATGTTGGTGCTGATGATCATTTCTCCTTATCAACACCAGGCAGTTGTGCAACAACGAGATTAAAACTAGGGAAGGGGTAACGTGCTATCGCCCAAGTAAAATATTGCAGATAACTCTATAAGGCTTATCAGAGGTCAAAAACTTGCAAGCCAGCCGACCTGCACGTATACCAGTGTGCTGCAGAGTGGCTTGAGAAACGTATGTCTGGAAAGCTACTCACTCCCCAGGGGGAATTGTTAGTTCACTATGGCCCCATCTGCACTATGCATTTAAAACATTATCATACCACTTTAAACAGCCATGGTACCCCCCAAAGAACCCTGGGTACTGCCATTTGATAAGAGTGCGGAGAGAGTTGTTAGGAGACCCCTAGTCCCCTTACAAAGCTACAATTCGCAGGCTGATTTAATAATAATCCTCAAGCTGAAACCTTCCCCAGCCCTTCTTTGCACTCTCCTCGAGTGTGACAAAATATTATTCGTTTGTTTGTTTACTTATTTATTAAATTTCTACACCACCCTTCATCCAAGGATCACAGGACAGTTTACAATATAAACACACACAAATACATACCATGGTAACAAAAATAAAACACCCCAATAACGCCCTCCCACACACACTTCATGGAATTTTGATAATGCTTCTTGCTTGTCTGGATTGGGGAAACCAGAAGGATGTGAGTGAGAGTGTGTGCAGCGCAGAAACAAGCCTACTGTGCAAATATATATTTTATATATGCTCTCACCCGCCACTGGCATCCCTAGGAGGTTCCCTAGGAGGGAATATGGCCCTTGGACTGTAGAAGGTCCCTCAACAGTATATCCAAAGAGCAACAAGGCCCTGCTTCCCAAAGGAACTAAACTGTTGGCACTAAAGGACTCCACTACACTCTCAAGAGCACAGGTTCATTAGCCTGCCCTGAACTATGGCAGGCCTGGGCTTTAAATCTGCATTCACCAGCGTGCAGCTAGCTAGCTAGTTGATTCCCATCGAAGTTCATTTCAGAAACGGCACCCCTACAGCCAGCCTTCCTTCCACCCCAGCTCACGTCCAGCTTCCCAGTGCTCTCAGGCTGCAATCCTACACGCAAAGAAGCAACCTCAGTTTAACAAACAACTTCCTCCCGAGTAGGCATGCTCAGAATCAGGCTCCAAGGCTGCAGTCCCGCGCTGTGCGCCTTTCTATTCGGCAACAAGCCCCCCTTAATTCCGTAGCGCATGCAACCGAGTAAAAACATGCAGCAGCACAGAGGATTAGGTTGCATAATTACGCAGGGACGCGGCGCAGCGATTCGCAACGAGAGCGCAATCCCAGCAGCGTCACTTGGCAACTGGGGCCAAAATCCGGGGAGGGCCAAGCCTTGCCCAGCAAATTTAAACCCCTTTCTCCGACTCCAAGCAAGAGCGCCACACAGCTTACCCCTCCAGCACTCCCGGAGGCCCACGACAACCGCTCCGGGAACTGTCACGGCCCCAGTTAGGGATCCATCTTCCTTTCTCCCGAACCTAAGAGAGAGAAAAGGACCGCGCGCCGAAGAATCGGTTATGGTGTTTGCTCGCCAGGCTTCCTCCGCCGTCCCCTCTCCCACGCCAGCTCTTCCTTCTCGTCTAATCCACCTCTCCATTGGCTTTCATTGCTACAACCCCCGTCCCACCGCAACCCCGGCCGCCGCCGCCGCCTCCGATCGCTCCAAACAGACCCGCCCCGGCCAGGCGATCAATCGCTTCCTCACCTGCGCCGCCGCCGCCGCTCACGCCCCTACAGCCGCCACCAGGAAGAGCCGAGAAGCGCGTGACTGACAGCGCAGATCAGAGCCAGAAGAGCCGCGGCCAATCCTCGAGGGGCGAGGAGGAGCCGGGCCCGGGCAAGCGTGGGCAGGACAACGTGCCATGGGCAACTGGGGACGGTAGAGGGCAGCAGGCGCCTGAATAAACCCGAAGGAAGGCCGTAATGACGAAAGCGTCAGGCTGGTTTTTTGAGATTGCTGTACTCAGGTTGTGTTCACACTCCGGTTTACTGCGCACTGACTGCGTTTTCATCCGTGTTCAAACGATGTTATCCGAAATGCGTATGCAGCCCGTATTTTGCAAGAAGGTACTACGGCCTGATGTGCTGTTTCTCAAACCACCTTCACAAGGATTGGAGTTCTTAAAACGTTCCTAATTTGCCTCCAGCAAGTTAACACCTTAACATAGTAATCCAACTATACTCGGTTATGGCAATTTACTATGATACTCTAGTAATGAGGATTCGGAAGAGGATGCTGCTGCTGCTGCTATCCTAAACACCATCCCAGCTGATCCTTCCTGAAAGCTTTGCTTTTAGCTCTAAACAAGCTGTGTGTGCTTTTGTTTACTTTGCTCATAGGGCAGCTGCAAATTGCAGTGCCAGTGGGACACCTGCTACCTTCATTTTCCCAGATGTATTTTAGACATTTCCTCCATGGGCCCTGAATCCTTTAAGTGCTTTGAAACACTCCTACAGTACTCTAGGATCTCTTATGCCCAGTGTGTTTATCACATTGTCAGCCACTAGAGTGCCTTCCCTGACTTAGTGCCCTCCTGATGTTATAGACTACAATTCCCATCAGCCCTAGCCTGCATTTGTTCACTGAGGCTGATGGGAATTGTAGTCCAAAACAACTGGAGCGCGTCAGGCTGAGGAAAGCCTACGCTAGAGCTCACGTGGTCTTCTTTTTAGAAATTATGCATCGTTGGTGGCTGCCTCTGTGAATGCGTGGGACAGGGGCGAAGGCACGCATTTTTTTTTAGAGGGGGCTCTGAAAAAAGGGTTATATTTAAAATGCATACTTGTCGTTGCTTTACGTATAAAAGTGAAGAACCAAAGAAAACGTATCTGCCAAGGTGAGTCCCAGTCCCAGGCAGGTGGGGAAAGGGGAAAGGCCGGTGGTCTCCGCCTCCTCGTATTCTAGGACTGAAGGTTGGGGCAGGAAAACAATGGTTCGGGAGACAAAATACGTTGTTTCTTGGGGAGGGGGGTTAGGAAGAGACGACACGCCCCCTGTTGCCCCCTCTCTCGCGCAGCTGGCGCTTAATTCGTTTCGCGCACGCGCGTATCCCCACGCCAACGCGGATACGCGGTACAACAAAGGGGAGGCGGAGGAGAGGAGCCGTCGCGAGCCCCTCGTCCCGCCCCCAGCCCTGTCTTCCGAGGAAGCCGGAGGCGAGGAATGCGCGCGCAGAGAAATGCGGCGGAGACCTGCCAGGGTATACTGTACAGAATATGGTCTTTTAAAAAAATAATAATAAAGAATGAATTAATGGCGCACAGCTGTGCGTTTCTACTCAGAAGTCCCCTTGAGTTCCGTGAGGCAGACTCCCAGGTAAGTGAGTAACAGGACTACAGCGTAAGGACAGGGAGATTTTCAGATTATAAAAAGGAAATATGTCCCCCTGGCACAAGAGGGTGCAAGTCTCAAGTCATATTCAGCACGCCTCCTGTGCGTTATATTGAAAATATGTACAACCGTGCTGAGTGGGTTATTATTGTTATCTCCATATTCCATATACTGAAAGAGCTGTGGCCAGGAGAGGGCAGGATTCCTTCTTGAAAGAGGTGTATCTGGCACCTTCATTGTATAGCTTTCCTTGGAGGCTGAAGAAGCGACTCTGAGATATAAATTATAATTAGGATGCACCCTGTCCTCCTGAATGTAAATTGCTGCACCGGCTTTTAATATTGTATTTTTATATTTGTTGTAACCCAGCCTGAGACCTTATGCTGAAGGGCAGGTAAGTCAAATAATGTAATATTATTATTATTATTATTATTATTTTATTGAATTTATATACCACCCTATACCTGGAGGTCTCAGGGCAGTTCACAAAACAAAATTAAAATATAAAACCACCAAATATATCATCAAAATAAAAACAACCCAATAACCACCCCCCAAAAACCCTACATTTTAAAAGGGCATAGGATGTCAATCAAATCAACCAAAGGCCTGGTTAAGAAGGAATGTTTTTGCCTGGGGCCTAAAGGTGTATAATGAAGGGGCCAGGCGACCTTCCCTGGGGAAAGCATTCCAGACAAGGAGCCACTGCAGAGAAGAGCCATTCTCGTGTTGCCATCCTCCGGACCTCTCGAGGAGGAGGCACACAAAGGAGGGCTTCAGAAAATGATCTCAGGGTCCAGGTAGGTTCATATGGAAAGAGGTAGTCCTTGAAGTATTGCGGTCCTGAGACGTTTAAGGCTTTATAGGTCAAAACCTGAACTTTGAATTGAGCCCAGAAACTAATTGGTAGCCAGTGCAGTCCGACTACGATTGGTGTAATATGCTCAAACTGTCTTGCTCCAGTGAGCAACCTGACCGCTGAATTCTGCACTAGCTGAAGTTTCCAAACCATCTACAGAGGCAGCCTTGCGTATAACGCATTGCAGTAATCTAACCTTGAGGTTACCAGATCATAGACAATAGTAGTTAGGCTATCCCTGTCCAGATGAGGGCGTAGCTAGGCCACCAGCCGAAGCTGATGGAAGGCACTCCAGGCCACCTGAGCCTCAAGCAACAGCAAAGGATCCAGGAATGCCCCCAAGCTGTGACTGCTTCTTCAAAGGAAATGTAACCCCATCAAGAGCAGGCAATCTCCCACCCATCTGATCTAGGGAATTACCCACTAACAGTGCCCCAGTCTTATCTGGATTGAGTTTCAGTTTGTTGGCTCTCAGCCAGTCTATTACTGAGGTAAGACACTGGTCCAGCACTTCCACTGCCTCACCTGCAGATGTAAAGGAGAAATAGAGCTGAGTGTCATCAGCATACTGCTGACAACATACTCCAAACCTCCGGATAACTCCACCCAGTGGTTTCATGTACGGTAGATGTTAAACAACATGGGGGATAGGACTGAGCCCTGAGGAACTCCACATTGAAGGTTCCATGATGGCTGAAAAGTATTCCCCAAGCAACACCCTCTGGGAACAACCATCCAAGTAGGACTGGAACCACCGCAAAGCGGTGCCACCTGCCCCTAGTTTAGAGAGTCGTTCCAGAAGGATACCATGGTTGATGGTATTGAAAGTCACTGAGAGGTCAAGAAGAATTAACAGGGACATGTTTCTCTTGTTTCTCTCTCTAAAGGGCAACCAAAGCAGTTTCTGTGCCAAAACCAAGCCTAAACCCCAATTGAAATGGATCCAGAAAATCAGTTTCTTCCAAATAATATATATGCAGAGACTGGTTTGCTAAGACAACCCTGTGAATTTATAGCGAGGAAACATTTGAACATTTATAAGTGTCTCCATGCACAAAAGCACATTTTAGCATACCGCTGCAATGCTAAATATGGAATAGTCACCATGTTCCAGTTGGTTGTCAGTCATCTGCCCTCTTGGTATGCAGTGTACCACCGATAATGTTATTTCTGGTTTTTGAAGTTTTTCATTTGTATTTTACTGGTGTAATGGAATTTGATCTTTATTGCCATGATGTGCAGTTTACAATGTGCTGGATAAAATGAAGAAACCAATTAAAATATTAATGTTTTTTTAAAGAATGATCAAAATGGATCATACTTGGAACTACCCTTCTTCACCCGTTCAAATGTAGCACAGAGCAGGTGCATCTGTCTTAATTTTGGGACTTAGGAGGGGGAAAGAGGGCCCTAGGAGAAAAGAAAAGGTAGGATAACAAGCAAGCTTTGAAGCCACAAGTCTGTTTCTAAGAACAGGGTAAATGCATACCATACAAGGCAATTCTAAAGTACAGTACATCTTTAGCCATATGGCCATAAATATTATTTCTGTTTACAGTAAAAACAACATAGTTTATTTCTTCTTCTTCCACCTCAAATATCACTAGCAGAATGATACATATAGTAGATGCCCTTTTATATAAAACTAAACAAATAAAAATAAGATAAATAATTTCTCAGTCATAAGGGAGTTAAAAAATGAAAAGTTATGGGTAATTTTCTCTTATAACAATGAATCAAGTTTATCTAATAGGATTTAATGCTTGAGTTTTCTGCATATATGCACTTTTTTTAAAATCCAACCACTTTTTCTAATTATATGATTGCATAATATTTCTCCTTCCTGGAGTGGTAATGTGTGCTTCTACTACCATGGTAACTACTTTGCTTCTGATTCAGCCATATGGTGTTATTCCCCCTTTCCACGCTGATTATCGTGTCTCACATTCTATTATAGCGAGTAAAGGAGCACAGAATACTGTTTTAGGAGGACACTCTCGGAAGTTGCTTCTTTCTAAAATGGCAAAAATTGTTTACAGCTTGCAACTGCCTACAGTTTTCTTTCAGCAAAGGTTTAGAATGAAATGCTAGTTAAATTTTATATATACCACCCAAAGTATACAGTAGGGGGAGCATCTGTTTGTAACCTTCTCTCAGGTGCATAGCATTTATGTGTATGTGGTAACTTTTAGGTGCTAAGAGCACTTTCAAACAAGCAGTTATCCACCCACATATATGAGACATGTACAGTCCCATAAGGACTGGACCACATGTTTTAATGTTCTACAAGTGCTTAATTTTCCAGAGGTACTATTATTTTGAGAAGTACAGCTGTCACAGTGATAGAGATACTCCCAGTGGTTGTTCCTGCAATAAATTAGTAGTAAAGTGAAAATGCAAAAACACCAATGAGTGAAAGACAGAGGTGCTATGTGTCTCAGGTTCTCACATCCAGGAGACAGCCTGCCCTGAACAGGGGTTACACCACCCTGGAAGGAGCAGGTTCACAGTTTGGGGGTGCTCTTGGATTCAACACTTCGCTGGAGGCTCGGGTGCCCTCGGTGGCTAGGAGTGCCTTTTTTCAACTCTAGCTGATTCCCCAGCTACAACCTCTTTTGGACAGAACTAGCTTGGCCATTGCACTCCGTGCTCCAGTAACTTCTAGATTGGTTTATTGCAAGGCTCTCTATGTAGAGCTGCTCTTGAAGATGACTTGGAAACTTCAGCTGGTCCCAAATGCAGCAACTAAATTACTGGCTAGGGTTCTGTTTATAACCCCTGTTTTAAAACAGCTGCACTGGTTGCAAATTTGTTTCCGAGCCCAATTCAAGGTGCTCGCATTAGTTGTTAAAGCCCTAGATGACTCAGGCCCCCAATATTTGAAAGAGCATATCCTTTCCTACAGACTCTCTTGAGTGCTGAGGAGGCCCTCTTGGTAGTTCCTCCACCCTCAGAGCCTCGGGGGAGTACGGTATGGCCTGGGCTTCATCCTGTTTCACAACACCTAAACATGATAAACGAGACCACAGATAGATGGTGTCAAGGCAAGTACTTATGATCTCAACTGATCCATGATTAGCTCAATAGCTTACAACCAATGTTACATAGCTCGGCATTCCTCCAAAGACTGCAACTTACTTAGCAGCACTGGGTAGTATTCAGTTTTGTTCAGAATAGACCCACTGAAATTAATGAACACGACTAAGGTCCATTAATTTTGATAGGCCTAAACTGAATAAAGCTTAGGTGAATACCATCCATTAAACTTCCCCGAACAGTCAAGTATCCTAGTGCTGCCAACGAAATAACAAAAAAGGCAGGCAGGAGCTGTGCAAGCAAATTCTTAAAGAATCTTCCGGGGGTTTAAAAAGGTTGTAGCACGGCATTTTAGAACTGATGGCACTAAACACCTAAAAATCATTGCCACAACATTCTCTCTTTCTCTAACAACCTACTTCACCTTTTTTCAACATGGTCATGATAGCTACTTGCCTGATAAACATAGAAGTGACATTCATAGGCACTAAACCCATGTTGTGTCAGCAGAATGAAAAGAGGAAATGGAGCAGCAATTCCCTTACTGGAGAGAATAGAGCAGAGCCCAGGGAGAAAAAGAAAGGTATGAGGAAGCTGCAGAATTGCAGCAGAGGAACAGAGAAGAGAAACGGCCCAAGACCATTGCACTTCTCCTGTGGTGATCTTTGTCATAACCCAGCTTGCTGCAGCTGCATTGCCACAAGTACATCTTACAGCGTAATTACTATCACCATATCAAAGCATTATGAATGCAAAGCTGCAGCGTTGCGGCATTTGGACAGAGCCGAGAAACAGCCCCAAAAGTTGTGTCTCTCATTACCCAAACACTGCTACAACTACTTTGCCACAAGTACAGCTTGCAGTGTTCTTATCGCTGCCATATCAAAGTATTATCAGCAAAAACATAAATCTAAGCTCCTTACAAGGCTGCAGATTCTGTCCTTGGTTAACATTTCTAGCCAGTTGCAGCATTCAGTTCCTTGAGCACCAACTGCATTCACCTTGAATAACTTCAGTGGCTTATCTCAGGCACAGTTGCCAACCAGGTTAATGTGATAAAGGCTTTCTCCCCACACCCTTTAAGACCTACTGAAGTTTTTCCCTTGCCCAAGCTGAGGGATCAAGTGAGCTCACCAATCAGCAGCGTGTTGCGGAGGCTGTCAGCTCCTGTGGGAGAATGTTAAAACTATTGAATCATAATAAGAATTGACATTGTAAATGCAATTAGTACTTGACAGGAAGAATTGAAAGAGGGAAACAAGGGAAGTATACAACCCTTAGGGCAAAACTAAAATAGAAACATCTTGCTTTCCCAGTTTTAAAATAAGTTAATTCTATGGGCTGGCAAGACTCTGGCTGCTGTTATTCAACCAGGAAGTTCATAATCAGCTCCCTATGTCCATGGATAGAAGCTACATCATCTGGTGTTCATAGTCCGAAAGAGCGGCATGGGGAAAATACTTCCCAACATACCTCATGGTTTCTTTGGAGGCAAATGAGCTGCCTCTTGTTTATATAACATCACAGGCTAATTCGTGCTAGCCCAGTCACTGGCTTTTTGTTTACCAGGGTTGATTCCTCACCTCCAACAGGCATTCATGGGAACTGGAAACAGATCTAATCTTTTCAGTGACCTCAGTGGCGTTGGAGAATAAAACTCCATTGGCAGTGGTTTCGGAGCATACAGCTAATACTTTTAGCACAGATCTAACATTTCCTCATAGTGTTTTCTTTCCTTCAGTGTTTTTTATACAATTCCTTAGAAATCCTCAGGAAAAACAAGCATTTTACAGTACTGTGCCTTTATTGCTAGTACATGGCAACAGGACAATAAAGATAGATGTAGCAAGAGGACAGAAGCACTTTGGATACCCAAATAGGGTTCTGCTGCCAAAAGAATGACTTCACTTTTCTGCAGCCATTGGCAATTCACCAAAGAAATCATCCCAAATTTATCATTTGTCCTTCAAGCCCAAACTTACAGAATGCACAGAGATTTTTCCATTTATAAAAGCAGAAAACAAAGTGTTGCTGTTGTTGTCTGTAAAATCAGTCAACAGTTTTGCTGGAATCCAGTGAATTTGTGAACCCCCTAATGATTTCTAGGCTACAGCACAGCAAAGGACTTTTGGAAGTTCTCTGCCTTGTGAAACAGCCTCAGAGATTCCTTGGTGGCTGAAAGTCAAAGTTTGTCAAGTGTGGAGTAACACGCAAAGGGCTTGTTCATGCTAACTTGGCAACCATGGATCCTGCTTGCTCAGTCACAAATTACTTGCATTTATTAAACGGTTTAGGACCACCATGCATGAAGAACCATCTCCTTCCGTTTGAACATGCTGGTCAAAAGAACATAAAAAAGCCAGCTGGATCAGGCCAGTGACCCATCTAGTGCAGCACTGTTTTCAGAGTGACCAACCAGATACCTGTGAGAAGCAACACAAGCAGAACCTGCGCACACAGCACACTGCCCACCTGTGATTCCCAGCAATTGCTATTCAGAGGCGTATTGACTCAATTGGAGGAGGTCCTGCTGTGTGTCCCAGCATATTTGTGTAGAAATCCTTTGTCTACAAACGGGAAGGAAAAAAAAAATTCAGCTCAAGGGCCTTATTTCTTTATGGGCAACTTTCCAGAAGACACATCATGCCACTGGTTTACAGAGTCAGTGCCAATTATGAGTGGGGCAACAGACACAAATGGGTTGTCACATGGAAGATGCAGCAAGCTTGTTTTCTCCTGCTCTGGAAAGTAGGACCCGAACCAATGGTTTCAAGTGATAAGGAAGAAGATTCTGACTAAACACCAGGAAGAACTTTCGGACAGGAAGCTGTTAAGACAGTGGAACGGACTCCCTCATAACTTGGTGGACTCTCCTTCATTAGAGGTTTTTAAGCAAAGCTTGGATGGCCACCTGTCTTGTATGATCTAGCTGAGATTCCTGCATTGCAGGCAGAGGCGTAGCGTGGGGGGTGCCGTGGCACCGCAATTTTGAGAGGGGGCACAAACAGGCATGACCCAGGGTAGGAGAGCAGGAGAGTCGGTGGCAATGCTGCTGCCCACCCTCTCTGGCTGTGAGGCGCCTCACACCCGGCGGCGGAGAACACCCCACCTGAGCTGCTGATTGCAGGGGTTAGACTAGATGATCCTCTTCCAACTCTTCAGTTCTACAATTCTATTAATTCTACATTAATAAAATAAACAACATTTGAGTCATGACCTCCTCATCTCCCCCTCCTTTCCATTCCATTCCATTTTAGTTTTTTGCTTGTTTGTCACAACCCCCTCCCCAAAACACAAATCTCTCCATTCGGGCAAGCCTGAGGCATTGTCGCAGTTCAAGGTTGAATTCCAGTCAGGCAAAAGCACCTAGGAATGTGGAGCAGGGTGGGTGAGTTATGTGACCTAGAGGAAGCTTGGAGGACTGCATTTGGACTCTGGGCCTGAGGTTCCCTACCCATGATCCATGTGGCTAAGGCTGGTTCACATATAAGTGAACCATAGAGTTGGAAGGGACCCCAAGGGTCATTTAGTGGGGTGTCCTGGTTGTATGATATATTTAACACTAGTACAAATGTGATACACTAAGGAAAAAGCCACAGCCCCTGAAAACCTGGTGCAGAGGACTACCCACATCAGCACAGAGTCTTTTGAGGAAGCGAGAGAGAATTCTGGAGAAAGGGATTGGTGTCCAAACATCTTTGGCTGAGCTACCTGAAGTAATCCCGTTCCACTCCAAAGTAGCAATGATCAATGTAGAAATTACAGTAGTTTCCCTCCCACTTTCCTCCTCCACCTCGCTTGATTTATACGTGCCTGTGTATTGGATACATGGGGAAACCCGCCTAAACTGAAAATTACCTTGGGGCACAGATCCATTAATCGTTTGACTGAGAAGTCAGGCTGTAAACCACAAAGACCTCATCGAAGTGATGCAAGGTTTGATCATTTCTCTACGTTGCGGTGTTGACGGACACATAAACATACACGTAGTAATAGATTAGCAGGCTGGGCAGAGACACACAAACCCCAACAGTGGTGGCCCTGACAGCTGCATGGCATTGCTGCCTGCATCTTTTTCCTTCCTCTCTCCTCCCCCTCCCCGCCCCAGTGCAGCGTGGTAACTAATAGCTTGGCGGACGAGGAAACAGAAAACACAAGGGAAAGACTAACCACCCCGTAGCACCGTTGCTCAGATCAAAACCAGATCCACTGCGCCCAGCTTTACCAGGACCGGATTTAGGTTTGATGAGGCCCTAAGCTACTGAAGGTAATGGGGCCCTTTATATGCCCAGCTGTCCTTTGTCAACAAATTGTCACTGTTGTTTGTGTTGAATATATGTTATATGATAATTTATGGACCTAACAGGTATCTAAAGCCATTTGCACTTAACAAAATATGTATTTTATCAAATTGTTGAACTTATCTTATATTTTGGAAATGTACATCCAGGGTTTTTTCCTTTAAATTTTTTTGGGGGCCCCAAGAGAGTGGAGCCCTAAGCTATAGCTTGTTTAGCTTATACGTAAATCCAGCACTGCAGTCTCTACCCAATTCTCAACTCCACCATAAGTGTTTGGGCAGCAGAGAGCCTCTGCTCTCCATCCAGGCAACAAAGTAGGCAAGAGCCAACAAGTCTTGGCGCGAAAGCTGCAGCTCTGTCTGAAAAGGTATTATTCACCCCGCCCGGCCCATATACGCAGTTTGCCAACCTCCTATGTGGAATCGGATCACCCTTGACGCGCCCCTCTGGTTCCACAGCTTGCAGTTAACTATTCTCTCCAAAGGAACTCCTCCCCACCCCACCCCGGTCCTCTCGATGGCCTCCCCCGGCTTTGCTCTCCAGCTGGAAGCCAAAGCCAAGCTTGGAGGAACATGCCAGGTGTCCCTTGCTGGTGATCCTGAAAAGGCTCCCTAGAGGGTGTGCGCCCTGATCGGAGACTGCCCCTATTCCTAAGGCATACGGCATGAAGGGGCAACAGAAGGTGTGTGAACAAACCTGCAAAGGGGGACAGGGAGAGGAAGGTTTGCAGAGGAAATGCAGTCTTAAAGAAAAGCAGGGAAGATGTTCATCGTTAAGGCTGGGAGGGAGGAGGGATGACTTGTGGCTTTGCAGATGTTGTCCCCCAGCTGCCAGCAGTCCCAGTCAGCACGGCCAATAGTCAGAGGTGGTGAGGACTGCAGCCAAGAAAAAACTGAGGGCCACAGGCTCCCCACTGCAGCATGAAGGGAACCACAATGCATGCTTGTGTACACTAGGTGCAGAGAAAAACAGTGCAACCATTCCTAGCTTCCCACCCCACTCCCAGCTCAGGCAGTGGAGAATGGTACCCTGTATTTCAGTGTTGTAATGAGATCCAGTGGTGGCTGCACATGGAATGGCTGGGGAGCAAAATATCTTGGGCCAGGTGTGGATGGTAAATGCTGCATCTACTGTTCTCTCCTTACAGTTGCAATGCCGCTATTTTGTTCTTGTTTTATCTGTGAAGCAAACTAACATGAAGTACCCAATGAGTCTAGGAGGATGAGATCAACAATTTATCATCCTATAGAAGAAAACCACAGCTGAGGTTTTCCCTCCCATTTAATCACAGCTAAAAATAAAGGCAATCAATTTCAAGGAATGCTCCCTGGAAAGCTTATGTGCTAGGTGTCAGCCCTCTGGTGGCACTGAAAATACTTGCACTTGCCTACAGGAAGAGTTCTATTAAGGTGCTGCCTCCGAAAAAACCTGGCTTTCAAATAGGGCCAGCATCATCAAGAGGATTTTGGCTTTTTAAAAACCTCTCCCAGTTCACACATACACACAGTTTGTATGTCCCAAGTTTCACCCCCTCCTAACTTATGATGGAGAGAAGTAATTAATGGGAAAGAGACCTATCAATTATTATTAGCCAGGATGGCTAAAAATAAAACAGCTGTGGGTCCCATGCAGCCCAAGGCTAACTGTGGTGTATTAGCAGTATCATCTAACATGTTCCTATTCTGATATGCATTGGTATTTACCAGGCACTCCTATCTCCATTACTGAAAACCATTCATTGGAATGCTAATACTGAAGCCAATATATTCCTCAGGGCAGGCAGCATGATTCCAACATTAATGCAGTGCACTAGTCCTACACATGTAAATTATTTGTGTGTCTCAGGCAAGAACCACTGACAATGTGCAGTTGCTTCCCCTCATATTGTATTTGCCTTTATCCTTAACCTTTCTCTCGGACTTCTTTTGTTTGAGCTTGAAGACTGTTTTTTCAAGCACAGCACACAAGGTAATGAATTGAGCAAGAACTGCTTCATAAATTACGAAGTGCTACACATACTGCAATGTTTGAAACAGCAGCAGCAGCACACATCTATTTCATCATAAGCATGCATGTATACACACACCCCTGGGAGCCGGAGCCAAATATAACTCATGGCCATATGGACAGTGGAAAGGGTACATACAACTCCAAGCCAAGTCTTACAGCAAGTGCATGCACACACCACAAACTGTGACCATTTACTTGGAAGTGTCCCAATGAATTCATGGGAGTTACTTCCATGAAGTGAAATGTCCTTAAGATAGCACAAAGCACTGTGAGTGATTGAGGTACAACCACAAAGAACTAAACCCAAAACTCTCGAGGTTTTATTGGTACAAATTCTGACTGTTGAAAGCACTAATGCAGTGCAGTTTTAAGACACCAAATGAGGTGATGGCTTTCCTACACACAGATCAGAGATGGGGAAACCTGGGGGAAACCTCTACCCATGCCACACTTCCCACCAGCCCAGTTCCATGCCCTCCTTAAGTACTTTGCCTGGCTGGAATGTGTTTTTGAAATGTGATTAGGTTTATGTGCGTGTGTGTGTCTGCATAGAAATCTGACTTCCGTGCATGACTGCAATGTAGTTTATGATACAGGATTAGAGTCCCATCCATTGCTCTGCCCACTTTTGACTCTAGTCTCACCCTCCACCTTGATTGGCATGGGACCACGAAAGGCCTCTCTGTGCAATCAACTGTATTGCCATACCCAACTCTCTTGCCTTTTCTCAAGATGTTGTTTCTGTAAAGGGATTTTTCATTTCATTTCTCAATCGGCACATTACAATATTTTGTATTTGGATACATGCAATTCTTCCCTGAGAAAGAGCACTGTTAGTCGTGGATACACAAGTGTTACAAGCACCTTCTGGGAATGACCTGTGATGGAATGAGTGAGATGTTTCCTCTTGCTGCACCATTTTGTGACCTTTTAAACATTTTAACTCTTGGAGCAATTCAGCTCCAGTGCCAGTACCCTCATCTAACCATGTTGCTGTTGTCTTTAGTGTAGCAAAAGCATCAAGACAAATTTCCTTATTTCAGCAAAAAAATGTTTTTTTGTAAACCGGGGGGGAAGCAGCTGTATAGTTCCCAGTCTACAGTACTTGTGTGAGTGTCATGCACAGGTTGAAATGTGGTTGGCATAAGCACTGACCAACTCTTAAAGAAAGGTCCTAAACGTGCTACGTGAAAGGCACAAACCTTCTTTTGCCACACTCTAACCACCAATTGTATACCACATTTGTATTAAAAGCTATTATTCTTGAACCACCTTCGTTGAGAATCAACTTCTTTCCCAAATTATAATTGACACTGAATACCCAAAAGGATTTACCTCTAATAAGAAAGAGCTGCAGAACAGAAAGGGATGGGGAAGATTTTATTAAATATTCCAGATGCCATTTCCCATTCTGTGCTGGGCACTTAAGAGAAGTGCATGGTCTTTTAGAGATTATGTGGTAAATAAAAACAAAACAGGTTACAGATCCTAGGCATTTAGGCAATGCTTTTGACAGTAGGATTCATTATGCATTTTCATTAATATCTTCATTTTTGATTTTAAAATCTTAAAAATTCTCCATCTTTAAAGATTCCGAGTTAACTCTGATACTGTGTTTGTTGTGCACTGTTTGTGACATTAAATACACGACACTGTGTAATATACATTAGCATGTAATAGAGGAAATCCCTCTACAAAAGTTAACTACATACCAATTTCAGCCCACATTTTAGTATTTTTTTCACCACTGATAGTAGCAATGAAATCCATGGTCCCATAGTCTCCAGGCTAGGAACCTGAAATATTTTTGACAAACAATAATTGCATTGCTAGAAGCAGCAGTAGTCAGAGCCTTTATTCAACCTCAATGATGGTCATTAAAATGGGCCATGGTCTCAAGGGATCAATTAAGATTACCTTAGCACCCAGTAAGTATTACACTAATTGTTTTAATGAATTATTTGCTATAATTTCCAATAAATGCATTGTATACGCATTGCCCTTTACACTGAATTGGGGAAGGAGGTTAGAGAGGCTGAGCATATAAAAGGAATTCTAATTTAAGAGAAAACAAATGCATTTCTGTGTTCACAAGTTATTACAAAAGATGGTATTAAGCCATATTCCTTCCAGTGTTAAACTAGAAAGTGCTCATGTTTTTGTAATATAATACTTGTACTTACAAACATATGTGCTAAAAAAAACCCCACTTAGCAACTTTTTATCAACTGAACAAACTTCATAGATAGCTAAGTATACATATGAAATTTTGAGTTAGAGCAAATACGAAGCTACATTATACAGAGTCAGACCACTGGTTCATCTAGCCCAGTATTTTCTATTCTGGCAACAGATCTCAGGCAGAGGTCTCACGGCTTGAGTTCCTTTAACTAGATGTCTCTATTATATCTGGGACTTTCTGCATACAATGCATATCCTTGATAATGTAACTATGGATCCTGCCCATAGTTGTGAACTACCCAGTATCACAATTAATGTAAATCTGGGACTAGGAGTAGAATCCTAGCCTCCTGAAATCTATGCTGAAAACAGAAGCTATTCCTATCTCAAACTTGAGCAGTTGGGCAGCCATGCACATTTG